CCGAGGCTGGGGATGGATCAAGCCCTGGCGAGTTGCCATTTGGAGCCTCGAAAGAGGGATTACTCGCCACTCAGCCATATACTGACAAGCCTCGGGGTGGATATTACGGTAGTGGGGGAGATATAGATGCGCGTTCCGAAGCTGGGGTTTCTGCCTTTGGAGCCGGTGACATGTTCAAGAATTTGGACACCAGAGAACAGATGGCTGAACGTGGAAACGAGAAATCACTCGTGGAAGTTGAGGAATACAAAGACAGTCCCAGTCGAAAACGATGGGTCTTCCTTGTGATGTTCTTAACTTGGTTCATCCCCGACTTCCTCATCCGCTGGATGGGTCGGATGCCTCGCAAGGATGTTCGGCAAGCTTGGCGTGAAAAGGTGGCTATCAACATGATGATCTGGTTCTGCTGTTTGTCTGCCGCTTTTTTCATCATACTCTTCCCTACACTTGTTTGTCCGAAGCAATATGTTTACAGCTCCGAAGAACTTACATCATATAACGGTAAAGACGGGGCCGATTCATACGCAGCTATCCGTGGTCAAGTCTTCGATATTGGCAGCTATGCTCCGAGTCATTACCCACCATATCTTCCTTCCAAGTCCTTGACGCAGTACGCCGGACTCGATATCACATCTTTGTTCCCTGTCCAAGTATCGGCTCTTTGCCGGGGCAAGGATGGCACAGTCAACCCTGCAGTAACACTGGACTATAAGTCGACAAACGTTACCGGCTCGGCAAATGTCATCAATAGCCAAGACTTGAATGCTCATTATCACGATTTCCGGTCCTTCACCTCTCTGCCTCAACCTTTCTGGTTCTATGAAAAGATGCAAAAGATGAAGCCATGGAAGAAGGGTACGATTGGTTACTCTCCAGAATACGTTGCAACTCTCGGAAACAAGCAAAATTCAATTGCCATGCTGAATGGTCGTGTGTACGACCTAACAAAGTATCTCTTGGGCGGTCGACACGTCGTAGTTAGAGAGGGCGAAGATCGTCCAACCGACCCTACAATTGTGGATTTCATGGATGATACCGTTGTTGACCTCTTCCAACAAATGAAGGGTACCGACGTGACCAAGCTATGGAATTCCCTTGATATCGACGCAGGTCTCCGCAGCCGCATGCAGCTATGCCTCGATAATCTCTTCTACGTCGGCGATGTTGATACGCGAAATTCTGTCAAGTGCCAGTTCGCCAATTACCTTGTTCTTGCTGTTTCCATCCTACTCTGTTCCATAATTGGCTTCAAGTTCCTCGCCGCGCTGCAATTCGGAGGTAAAAACATACCAGAGAATTTGGATAAGTTCATTATGTGTCAAATTCCCGCATATACCGAAGACGAAGACTCTTTACGTCGCGCTATTGACTCAGCTGCCCGCATGCGATATGATGACAAGCGTAAATTGCTTGTCGTTATCTGCGATGGTATGATCATCGGTCAGGGTAACGATAGGCCAACCCCTCGCATCGTCCTCGATATTCTCGGCGTTTCTGAGACAGTTGATCCCGAACCACTCAGCTTCGAATCTCTCGGCGAAGGTCTCAAGCAACACAACATGGGCAAAGTGTACTCTGGTCTCTATGAGGTTCAGGGTCATATCGTTCCCTTCTTAGTCGTCGTTAAAGTTGGTAAGCCATCGGAGGTTTCCCGTCCCGGAAATCGTGGTAAGCGAGATTCGCAGATGGTCATGATGCGTTTCCTCAACCGCGTTCACTATAACCTACCTATGAGCCCTCTAGAACTTGAGATGTATCATCAAATCCGGAACATCATTGGCGTCAATCCCACATTCTATGAATATATGCTTCAGATCGATGCCGATACGGTAGTTGCTCCCGACTCGGCGACGCGCATGGTTTCCTCATTTTTAGACGATACACGACTGATCGCTGTCTGTGGCGAAACAGCACTGACCAACGCAAAGTCCTCATTCATCACCATGATCCAGGTCTACGAGTACTATATATCGCATAATTTGATCAAGGCTTTCGAAAGCCTGTTCGGCAGTGTAACTTGTTTGCCTGGTTGTTTCTCTATGTATCGTATCCGAGCCGCCGAGACAGGCAAGCCACTCTTTGTCAGTCGCGAAGTCGTTGAAGATTACTCAACAATTCGTGTCGATACCCTACATATGAAGAACTTACTTCATTTGGGCGAAGATCGTTATCTAACAACTCTACTCCTCAAGTATCACTCAACGTATAAGACCAAATATATTTTCAGCGCTCATGCGTGGACCATCGCACCTGACTCCTGGCAAGTTTTCCTGTCACAGCGTCGTCGTTGGATCAACTCAACGGTACATAACTTGGTGGAACTCATTCCTATGGCACAACTCTGCGGTTTCTGCTGCTTCAGTATGCGATTTGTCGTGTTTGTCGATCTACTGTCGACGGTCGTCCAGCCTGTGGCTATAGCATACATCGTATACCTCATCGTTCTAGTGAGCACTTCGACGAGTGTCATACCGATAACGGCCTTCATCATGCTTGGCGCTATATACGGTCTCCAGGCAATTATCTTCATCGTACGTCGCAAGTGGGAAATGATCGGATGGATGCTTATGTACATTGTGGCTGTTCCGGTCTTCTCATTTGGCCTACCTTTGTATGCCTTCTGGCATATGGATGACTTCAACTGGGGTAATACTCGTGTTGTCGCCGGAGAAAAGGGCAAGAAGATTGTCGTCACAGATGAGGGCAAATTTGATCCTGCTTCGATCCCACGTAAGCGGTGGGAAGAATACCAGGCCGAGCTATGGGACGCTCAAACTAGCCGAGGGGATGATGTACATTCCGAAGTCAGCGGTTTCAGTTATGCCACCAAGCAGGGAATGAACGTCGGTGTAGCCGAGTACTATGCGTCGTCTAGACCTGGTTCCACTACTGGCATGGTTCCTCCATACGATCTGAAAAATCCCAACCATCTCAGTCGTATGTCATTCGCCCCAACTGAAAATCGAATGAGTCAATTTGGCGGTTCGCAGTTCTTGGGCAACCAATTGCACGATGTAGAGATGGCCAATCTAGCAGGCATGCCAAGCGACGACGCGCTACTAGCAGAAATACGGGACATCTTGCGTACAGCGGATCTCATGACCGTAACCAAGAAGGGTATCAAGCAGGAGTTAGAGAGGCGGTTTGGCGTTCCTCTTGATTCCAAGCGATTATACATCAATAGCGGTATGTCTCCATCTTTTCTCCCCAGTATGATAATGAAAACACTAACAAAACACAGCAACCGAGGCCTTGTTGACTGGCCAATTATAGAATCTGGTTAATATGTAGTCCAATCTTACGGTTTCTGCTATCATATTTCTGCATATATTTAAATGGCCATGTTTTCACTATTTATATAATACCGCTGCATTACATATTTCAGAGGGGAGCAATGCACCACGGGCCAGATATGGGTTGGACAGGAAATTCATCGGAGGTTAGGAATCAACAAAAGCAGAATTAACAAACCACTCTTGGTAAATAGCCAAGTTGAGCGGTGCCCGATCTTGATACGCCCGCAATAATAATAGGAATAATCTTGTTAAATTACTAGTCTTATATATCATTTGATCAATATGTAGCCAAAGTGAATAGAGTCTTACGGCTTCAACACTGTACTAGTTTCTTTGAATTGGTAATTTATCATAATTCAAAGCGGTGCGAAGCAGTCTTTCCCAACAGGTTATAGCAATGATTACCCCGGCATTTACTCCAATAGATTAGTTCTTAATAGGAACTAGAGATAAAAGTTAAGACTGGTCCTTATTAGAGTCAGAATTGATGTAGTCTCGAAATGCTTCTCAAGTATAAGCTCAGGAGGGCCAAGCCATTCCCTCTCCGAGTTTAGGTATATACCTCTCATATTAACATAGCATACATGTATGAAGAAATATCTTAAATCCGACCCCTTACTACTCCATATCTAACCGAGCCGAATACGGCCCCCAGGACTATAGCAATTGGCGGTGCCACGCCAAAATAATGGCCCCCAAATTGCCCACCATGCATCATCTTCCCACACTGGAAACCTTCATCAATATGACCCACCTGCCAGATTCTATGCACAGCTGTATAGATCAGCCCAAGGGCGCGAGCTAAAGGTTAGCGAAGAGTCTGTATAGCACAGGTATATCAGGCAACGCCCTTCGGAGTACTATAACAACAATGAATGTGATAAAAGAAGGTAGATAATGAAAAAATCAATAAAATATCCCGGCGGAATAATGCGCGGCTCGGAATAGTATTCTGTTATGTTCCCATCCTGGTTGTTGAGAAAAGCGTACACTGCTCGAGGAAGAGCTTCCCCAATGTTAGAGACGCCGATAGAAAGACTTATATTAGATGGGAGCGTATCAACCCAGCTAGTGTTTCTCGATTTCTTAGCCATCGCAGTATCTAGGTAAGCTTATAAGATAAAGGGGTAGTTAACCCCGATATAAGCATGTTACGGATATAAATAGGATTGGCTAGGGGGCTAAAAACCACTAGCGGTACGGGCCGCCATTAGTGTGCATTAGATACCTTAGGTTAGGTAGGTAGGTACCTAGGTAGGTACCTAGGTAATATTTCACCGGTATGAAGACCTTTCTTGATCTTCCTATAACTACATGTAGCTCTTAACTAATCATTCTAAGAAATTATATGAATAGTATAAACACAGACTTGAATATAGTTATATTGATAAGCTTATTCAACAATTCTCGTTCTCGATATTCTATCTCGAGCCATATTACAAGCCAAACAGCATGTACGACGTGCCAAATACCGCTAATATACAGCAAGGCTCGATACTACGAGGGTCATACACTGGATCCATATGAGGTACCTACATGCCCGGGTACGCTATGACTCTGGGTGGCTGTGCCGTAGCTGAAATGTAATAGTAGTACGATCTAAGGCTGTTCCAGAGAGCTGTTTATAGAATCATTAATTACCTAGGTATTGGATTAAAACCCCAATTCTCTTCACCCGACTTCTTTTTTTGCTTGAAAGCTAATGCCCAATACATATCTAGAGCTTATATTTACGGATCGCGATTAGCTACGTCTTACTTATGTCGCCCTACAACCGAAGAGATGAAGAGGGAATTGACGTGACCAATGAGTCCTATCCAGAAAATCTACAACTGGGGCAGTACAATGCAACGTCGACCGAGTCGAACCAGGAGTCTGCCTACAGGTTAGGAGAAGAATTAAGATATAATTCCTACTATGATATTAGCTACAGGAACCGAAATGCGGGCTCTAGTAATAGGAATTCGGCATACGATAGCCTCCTGATGGAGCCGATAAATGACCCGGGAGCAGAAGCACTAGAAGGCAATGAAAAGAAATCTGTTGTCAGAGGTCCTCGACGGCGACTGTTTAGGAGCTGGGTGTGGGAAATCGGCGCATGCTTTCTTAGCCTCGCTAGTATTGCATCCGTGATAGCTGTCCTATCCGTCGAGAACCACAAACCCCTGGATCAGTGGGCTTGGAGCATAGGCCCGACAGCTGTAGTGTCCTTCATCGCAGCAATCGCTAAATCCACCATGTTAGTCGCTACAGTCGAGGTTCTTAGCCAACTCAAGTGGCAGCATTTTCATGGTCAGACACATCCCCTGATTGACCTTGAGATCTTCGACGGGGCTAGTCGAGGACCATTCGGAGCTGTCCAGCTCTTGTGGAAGAAAAATATTCGGACGCTGCTGGCATCCTTGGCTGCAATCGTTGTCATCGTGTCAATGCTCGTCGATCCATTCGTACAATTGGTTTTTGAATTTCCTGCTCTTTCCCTGCCGGTTTCAACTGCCAGCGCGTTATTAAATCAAACGCAAGTATACGATCCGAATGGGTATATTATAGACGCCCATCTTACGGGGACTACGGGTGAGTAAGTTTAGGTACTTTTGTTATAACAACTTATACTATTATAAGAATTAAATAGGAATTATAATTTCCTTACTCAGTCAAGATGTAGATGTTATGGACATATCTCTTGCTCAGATATAAAGTTACCAGGGTCCTGTCTACTTCCGACCTTCCCCCTTTTATTCCTCTTAGGCACTTAGGCATATGGTATCAAGTTCAAGCGTTAACTAACATTAAACTACAGCTTCGGCTGTCGACGCACAGATGCAAGCAGCAATTATCAAGGCAGTTTCTGAACAGCCACAACCGCCCGCAGCTGCCTGCAGCACTGGAAACTGTACTTGGCCTCCTATTACCACGCTTGGAGTCTGCGCCGACTGTACAGATGTCACGCGACAAGTCAATATAAGTTGCCCGGGTCCCACATCAGCAAATCATGGGCAGTATCAATGTGACTATGGTATGCCGTCGGGACGTAATATATCTGGCTTTATGTTCCGTGCCGGTGCTTCTGGAGATGTTTTCCCTACGAGGTGGAATTCTTCTGCCGTTTCGCATGGCAATACTCCCGGGGGTGCAGGCTCAGACGCGCTCTTGGCCTACATAGAAGCTGTGCAACTCAAAGCAGCATTTAATTATGACACCGACATGTCATCGATGCTTCGGCAGCCAACTGCTTGGACATGTACCTTCGCCCTTTGTGCTAAGACTTACGACAGTCTAAGCATGACGAATGGAAAAATGAGCATCACAACACCAACCGAAGACCCTATGGTTCTCACCGGTAATATTACTAATGGAACTACACCTATAGGGGGAGGGCTTTCCGGCCTGTCTTTTTACCGAGGTCTAAAGGTTAACTCTAGCTCATCTTCGGAAGAAACGTACCGTATCAACCAAGCAGACTATGCGAATCTGGCAAACTACCTCACCGAGCTCTTTTCTACAGGATGGGGCGAAAGAGGGTTTGGGGCATCGAATCGCGTACAACAGTCAACTGCACCGAACCTGGGATGGGGGCTCTCAGAAGCTGATGACCTTTCGCGGACAGTCCGAAGCATTGCTGAAGGTATGACAGAAATTATGCGAAACAGCCGCAACAGCACGCCGATAGCAGGGGAGGCCCTCCGTACTCAGATCTACATCGAAGTCCAGTGGGGATGGATTGCATTACCTCTTACTCTCATCGTACTAAGTCTTTTCCTCCTCGTGGTCATGATTGTAAGAACCCACAGGAGCGACTTGCCCGTCTGGAAGAGCTCTAGCATAGCGCTACTTTCTCACGAGGTGAATGGCTGGGCTCCTGGGGGTGGGGTTATAAGAGAAACTTCGACTCTGCAAAAGGAGGCAAGAGATATATCAGTCATGCTGCCAAGCGACTCGCAAGACATGAGGTTCGTCATGAGTTAAGGAAGGAATATAAAATTACGATCAGGATGATGAATGTATGAAATCGGTCGTAGATGCAAATCAGCATTATAAACTATAAACCTATAATTCGAGTATTCTGATAGTTGATTAACTTGTGATATGAAAACTAAAGATGGATTTCGAAGGCCTAGAGTGGTCCTTTAATCCTGAACCGAAAGATCTTGAGCGTGTGCTTTCATTAATTGTTAGGTTAGGTACCTAGTATTTTAAGAGGGAGGTTTACTGTGATTTGCCGATCAGGGGTTACGTTAGATCTGTTCGGGGTAGGGGAGAAAATCTTACAGATTTACATCATGCCGCTTTATGAGTCAATTGAAAGCTTCTCGTGGAATGCCGGGTCTATGCCTGTAAGTGCGATATTTTGGGGATTACACCTTCAGTTTTAACCGATGTTTTTGGAATCTCATTTGAAGATTTCCCGTATTGCCACCTCCATCTTAGGGTCAAGTATGACAATTGTATGATATTGCGTTATTCCGACTGGCGGACCGGGACAAGTATTCCACCGCTTCGTGAAACTACCGACAGGATAATGGATATCCGGTGTGCATGGGGTACCAATTTGGCCGTCTAGGTTTGTAATAGACATGGTTACTCTAAGAACTACTTGGAGGATTACTTAAAGAATCACTTAGGAGGTTTGGCCTACAACGCTACATCATCTAGGATATGTGAAATACAGATACGATCCAGAAATATTACAAGTAATAGCTATGGCACAAAAACGAACTATTCTAATTACCGGCTGCTCCGATGGTAGTTTGGGCTCAGCGCTCGCTCTCGCCTTTCACAAGATCGGATGGCGCGTTTTCGCATCGGCTCGCAACCCATCTAAACTAAAAGAAGCCGAATTCGCTGGCATCGAGACCATACAACTCGATGTTCTGTCTGAAAAGTCCATCGCGGATGGCGTTACCAAAGTCAAAGAGCTCACCGGTGGCTCGCTCGATGCTGTCCTCAACAATGCTGGTGCCGGGTATTCTCTACCCCTGATGGATATCGATATTGGGAAAGCTCAAGAGCTATTCGACTTAAACGTCTTCTCAATAATCAGAATGACACGTGCTTTTCTTCCGCTTCTCATCGAGTCGGGCAGCATGGTAGTCAATAACACATCAGCTGTGTCGGTGCCAGCCGGCGCCGTTCCCTTCCAAGGCGCCTACAATGCATCCAAGGCCGCCGCCGCAAACCTTACTGAAGTCATGCGGCTGGAGCTGGCGCCTTTCGGAGTCAAGGTGATCAACCTTGTGACCGGCTCTGTGCAGTCGACCTTCTTCGACAATGCGCCCACTGCTATTCTACCTCCTACCTCGTTATACAACATAGCCAAGGAGGCCATTGAGAAGGCCATGGGATACGACACCTCTACTAAGAGTTTCGGCGATCCTAACCAGTGGGCAAACCAGGTTGCTAATGATGTTAGCCGGCCTCATCCGCCTCATTGGGTATGGCGTGGTCAATACACGTTACAAGTGCGAATTGCCTCGCTCCTCCCCATTGGATACTTCGATAGCTTCAAGAAGAAATTGGCGGGATTGGATGTGCTAGAGCGTAAAATTCAAGAACAAGGAGGAGCGAGCAAGGTCAAGACATCTTGATGCGATACTATCAACTAAGTAAACGTTATATCCGTTGAATATACGAGATGCCTATTATTGTAAAGGAGTGGAGTATATTAATAAAAATGATTTCAAAGAGACATAAGCATGTATAAGAATTTTGAAAACTTTCCCCGCTGCCAGTGGCTATGTACATCACAACCCCCGGATTATATCACAACCCCTGGATCTATTGTTGGGGCTGTGCTTAGGGAATTGCTAGAGAAATGGAGCTGGTTTCAACCAATGAGGCGCTTTAATAACATAGGTTGTCACTTTAATAACATAGGTTGTCACTACCTATACATATATCTTTCGAATCCCCATCGTTTCCGATTGTTGTCAAAAATTAAGACCATAGCTCGCCAAGATGGATGTAAACTCATAAATAAAGAGTCGATACCCCCTCCCCCTTATGCCCAGCGTTAAATCCACCTCCCGGATACCAGTGTCTCGAGTATGGACCCGCTTACGGCATTTGGGTTCTCGGCAAGCATCGTACAATTCGTTGGGTTCGCTTCAGGCTTGATTTCAAAATCAAGAGAAATCTATAGTTCGTCAAAGGGCTGCACCGGTGAGGTTGAGACACTAGATACTGTCTACGAACAGCTTCGAAACTTGAGCTCAAGTCTCGAAACATCTTTCCAAAGGGGTCTCCTAATTGAGGAGGTAAAGGAAAGGGAGATTGTACAACATGTCTTGGCAATTGGCGACTTGGCTGGTACGTGTAAGTTGTATTGCGACAGACTCTTGGAGACCGTGAGAGAGCTCAAAGGCAAAAATGGAACGCACACACGATGGAAGAGCTTTAAACTTGCTTTAAAGACCGTTTGGAAGGAGAATAAGATCGCCGACCTGGAGCAAAGCCTGCATCATACCCAGACAACTCTAATACTTCATATTTGCGCAATGACAAGGTACCAACTTCCCCTAAGTAACTAAGTCTAATGCTCTCGTCTTGAAAGTCACCGCAGAACTAACCTTGGAATTAGTTACTGGCAAGGAGTTCATCAACGCCAACTAGATAGCCTACGTACAGAGAATTATCGTATGCGCTCGGAACAGTCTTCGAGACTTTCCGATATTTCAAAGGTAATTATTGAGCTACGTACGAGGGGTATAAAGTCGGAACATTACAATAGCTTCTTCACGCTGAACGACATTGCGTCGCTCCAAACTCGAATATCTAAATTATCTATATCACAGAAAGACGCTGCCAAGGAGCACATGATTATATCAAGCCTGAGCTTCGATAGCCGGGCTACGCGACACTGTTCTATAAAAGAAGCCCACAAAAAGACGTTAAGCTGGGTGTTTGAAGATACGCAAGCAAGAAGTTCTCGATTGGGATCCGCCTCAGGTAACTTAATACGATGGCTCAAGAATCCGGACGGCATCTTTTGGATTTCTGGAAAGCCGGGTTCCGGGAAAACGACTCTTATGAAATATATATCCGACCATCCCACTACTATTGAGACCTTGTCCCAATGGGCATATCCCGATCCTATTATCGTAGCTTGTCACTACTTCTGGAGCGCCGGCACTTCAATGCAGAAGTCTTACCAGGGGCTACTTCAAACATTACTATACGATATATTCCGCCAGCTCCCAGATCTTATCGAGACTACTTGTACTGAAAGATGGTCTAAGTCGGCGGAAGCAACGAACCACGAGCTATGGACCATACCAGAGCTTAGTCGAGTTCTTCAACGGGTTACCAACCGAAACGATCTTGGTGTGAAATTTTGTTTTTTCGTGGATGGGCTAGATGAGTATGAGGGCGATCATCTCGACTTTTGTCAAATGTTGCGAGAGCTCTCTAAGTCACCCTATGTAAAGCTATGTGTGTCTAGCCGGCCTTGGAATATATTCGAAGATTCATTTGGCCGAGACGAAACTCGCAAGCTTTATATGCACGACTTCACAAGGCCCGACATTAGATCGTATGTTGAAAGTCGTTTGCAAGAACACCCTAGGTGGGAAGAAGTCGACGCAGAGGCTGAAGATACCCATTGGCTAATCGAAGAAATTACGGAACGAGCAGCCGGCGTGTTCTTATGGGTATTCCTAGTTACGAGGGAATTGCGGAACGGTCTTACTGAGTATGATAGTTTCTCAGATATGCGAAGGCGACTTAACAATATCCCATCGGACTTAGAAGCCTTCTTCAAGCAGATTCTTGATTCGGTAGAGCCTTTCTATCACCAGAAACTAGCAACAACTTTGCGGATAGCTCTGACGAAGGGATCGTCTGCTTCATTCCTCATCTACAGCTTCCACGATGACGAAGACGAGGACCCAGATTATGCACTGAAGGTCCCAATAGAGCCCCTAAGCGCACAAAAGATTGAAAATAGGAAGAAACAAATGTCTCGTCGTCTTAAGGGAAGATGTCGTGGCCTCCTGGAACTCGATCCGAATAGCGGCCATGTCGAATTCTTGCACCGGACAGTGATGGATTATCTCCGCACTCAGAGCATATCTATGTATCTCGAGTCAAAGTCACCCTCTGGATTCAATCCTTCCCTTTCCCTCTTGAAAGCCTTAGTGGCTTATATTAAAGGCACTAAATTTCCCGAGTCCATTGATCGCAAAGAATTCACCATTTATACCCCCCCTATGCTGTTGTTTACACTGAATGAAGCTCTTGCGCACGCGAAGCAGGTTGGGAAGAGCGCATTCAAGTACATCGAGGAGTTGGAAAATTGTATCATAGGTATGCACCAAAAGGGCCAAGCTAAATTCAATGTATGGGGTCGTTCATCCAGCCAAGTTCACTCATTCTTCCGTGAACCAGCAGTTGAGGTTGGACTAGACGAATATCTTTGTTATATTCTATCAAAAACCCCTGACTACTTCATAGACTTCCGAGGGTCAGATATGGAACGTGTTAGCTTCCTCGCATTGTCCTCAGCTCTAAAGCCACGGTGGGATGAACTCGGAGGCACATTTCTTTCCCAGCAAGCCCGCCGTACGAATACTATTCACTACTTTAGAGAGTTGGCGAAAGTGCCAAGAGCATGGGTAATTCTCTTAGAGCATGCTCTGCCATCAAACCCGACTCCTGACTCAGATAGCAGCCAGCTTGCATGGCATCTCCAAAGCGGATCGATTTCTATGATGCTAAAGCAAGGAGCAGACCCAAACGCCAAAACTTACCACCAAACATCTCCAGGATATACAGTGGCTTGGCTACGATTCGCTGTTGCCTCTTTCAGCATTTCTACTGGTTCATTCCACCAAGCCAAATTTATTCACGTTTTGAACAGCTTTATCAATACAGGCGCCAACATGCGAGCTCTTGTGTCAAATCCTTTGGGCGAGGAGGAATCATCATCGATCCCCGGTCTGGATGCGTTCTTCAACATCCTTCTACGCAGAACAAGCGGCTTTGATCATTTCAACATCGAGCTCCTCGCTATAGTTGCCGAGACACTTATGTCTAGAGCAAGAGCTACAGGAATGGAAATTGAGAATCACTGGTGCATCACAGAGAAAGCGTTCCCGCTCGAGATTGTCTCGCGTATTAGGAAAGCTTTCGCTAGTCCCGAGCCATGAAAAACGACTCTTCTAATGATATCAACCTAAATCATCTGGCTGGCCTGAGAGCCGTTATAAAGCCATACTTGACCACATAAGATACTCCCCCATACCTCCCTCGTATTTAAGGATATACAACCCCCCCCATTTGCTGTCCATCTCATTAATTATGAGAGATTATCATGTAAGCAGAAACACTATCCCCAGCCGATCATGTAGATCATTACCTCGGCTGGGGCACATCGTGTCTTATAGCCTTACGTCACATTCGTCATATACCCCCAGTCCAGGTGCGGCTGAGTAGCACACGATAGAAGAGGCTTGGCTTGACCAATTGTTATAATTGTATATCACCAAATTTGCCCGATGGGTTCACAAACAGCCAGCCATAGCTGCGAATAAATATGAACGATCGTTCGATTTTTATTGATGAATCTCATCGATGCGGTCTCGTTTTTATTTATTTATGATTTGAGCTTTGAGGCTTAATACTTTCAAAATGTGGCGTTTATCACCTACACTTTCGGCGTGGGCATTCGAGCTCAACCTATTGGCATTACAAGCCCTCATTCCTTATAATACCGATAAAAAGAATGGCAGCCTATTCCGCCATATTAGGACGCTTACAGCAATATGTTTCAATGCTATTTACCTCGTCACCATCAAAAAACGAGCCACAGATCCCGCTTTAGATCCCGAATCGGGCCGGCCCGTATGGCGTGCAATATACGCTTGCCTCTTCAGCGTTTTCGTGTGCACCTTCAGGACTACTTACAATCATTTTACCCAGACGACCGCTTCTTTGAAGCCATCGCGTGAAGAAATGTCGAGCTGTTATAGGAAAACCGAAACACGCCGACTGGTTCCCGTTTACAGAGTGTCCTATCCAGCATTTCGGTTTCTCGATAAGTTAGCACTCTCTATTCAAACGATGGCGAATTCGCCTGCTCCGTTGGGAATTCCGCCCTTGGTTCATAATGGAAGACTCAATGTATCGGGCTATTTTAAACATCTCCTGCTGGGTCCAGTCTTGCGCTTTCCTTCAACCTTTCCAGGCATATCGGGATTTTTCTGGCGTAATAGGGGGTACATTGTGACTATTTTATTTACCATATACAACTATTCTTACGAGAAAAACGCAGGGAGACTACTGGCCGTAACCATGATTCGGGGTTTCTTTTCTTTTGAGCAAATCGGTCCTGAGTTTCTGTGGTCTCTCACTTACCACGATGCGCTGGAAGTGGATGGTATATATTATGAAGTGCGATCCGCGGCTCTATTCTCTACTAGACTTAAGATTCGAATAAGGCCTACGAAGGGATCTTCAATGGAGAAATATAAACGGGATCGTCAAGAACTGGGTTATACATTTTACAATAATGATGAAATTGAAGCAAAAGGTATAGTTTCAACACCGACTCCTCGTCATCTATCCTAAACATCATTAGTATTAACCTGTAACTAGCTCGCCATCTGACCAAAATTGTGCCCAACTATGACCACCTAACTTTCAATTGCCAGGCGTTTGCGCAGAACTTATTTCGCCGCATCGTGGCCCATGAGTTACTCCCGAAGGGTAAGACACTGCCGATACCACCTCGACAACGGACATTACACGGCTATCACAACCAAAGGAGCAATGCCTTGCTCGTTTTAGCTATGTTTCCGAGATTCTTTTCGCGTTCTCTCGGGTATGTTCTCTGGCTTCCGTGGCTCAATTATTGGTACGAATATCTCATCTTCGCGACCTGCTCTTGGCATGGTAAGCCTGCTAGCAATAGAGTCGCACTATTCCAACTCTTATCTTCTGCTGCGTTCGTGTACGTATTCGATCTATATCAGATCTCCGAACGCATGCGCGAGGTTTTCCCAGGCCTCGACACAAGTATCATAGCCCCAATCACAGATGCGAACACGTTACGGTGGTATGAATGGGTGTTGAATTCGGACTATTACCTCGGAATTATATCAATACCTATTACCTTCGTTAACATACTAGTCAAGCTTTACCTTTATGATCAACACGTGGATAAAGGACTCCCGAAAATCGTAAGAACTTCTTGGCATAAGGAGGGCTTTGGCTTTGAAGGGATGGAAGTAGGGGTCCAACATTTCGCGTCAGACCAGCCCACCAATGGCTACAATATTACACCATTGGGTCTAATACCAAAGATCGACCACGCACGAGTAAACGCAGCAGCTGAAGATACGGGCTTCGACAAAAGCGCAGCTCTAAGGATTCGCAAGGGGTTCCACAAGTTGGCAGATTTAGACAATGAGGTTTGGACGGATTGATCTAATATTATACACAACTACCTCGTACCTAGGGGGCAAGACGTTATAATATAATAATGAACACATGCCCAGCCTATACATATAAAAAGTAGATGGCGTAGTTAAGTATCGTATGTACGGACTTCGGATTTAATATCAGAGGAGCCAATTTGGCTACGTGCCGTCAGAATATATACAGAATATATACACGCGAAAGTTTGCATAACCAAGGAAAGTGGCCAACCGTTTCTATTTGTTTCGAAGGATCTCAGTCAGCAGAAATAAACTGTTGGGGATACGAGATAACTTGCGTATTTCCTAGGTTAATGTAATCTATTATAATGAGACGCAAGTTTTTGAACACGTAAAAAACGCCTAATGTAAGTAATATAATGTACCTACCTAAGTAATATAAATTGGTGCAATGCTATTACTTAGCTGCATCAACCTATAATGAAGCACTTGCACTATTAGAAATACATAACAGGTAGGTATAAAGTCCTCCATGTTATGCGGACTCGCCAGCCCTACGTGCCAAATTAAGCGCCTCAGCTAAGGGCAAGATCTCATTCAGGTGGGGTGCAACCTATAGAAACCCAAACCCCTGCGAAAAAAAAAGTCTAGGCTTTGGTAGTGGGGTTTTGCGGGACGGGACTTACTTCTGATAAAGTGGGAACATTATGATGTAGTTGGTCGGCACCTGATTACATGTTGTATCCCACACAGCCCACGCAGCCCACGCAGCCCACGCAGCCCACTCAAACCTACGCAACCCACGCTAAAGCATCAATTACCTGGAACAACAACTCAAACTGTCCACCTACATACATACGTCGACATACGTCTACATATACATACATCTACTACTACACAGACTACTACATACACTGCTACATACACTGCTACGTAAATTACCTTTCCTTACTATTGCATCTTCGGATCATATACCCGCCTTCGCCCGCCGCAGTTCCAAGTTGCATGTGCCTGTGTTACATCGTCGAAGCAGACAGCAGCCCCATTCCGGCCTTCTATTCGTCGCCTTTTGCTTCTCTGCACCATTATTTTTTCACCCGCTTTTTTCTTGATCGCCGATCTAGACACCACACACTCTCGACCCGTCTTAGTTCACGACAAACCCGACAAACCGAGCCAGTACCTAGCTGCGCCGTTTCCCCCGACTTTGTCTCATCATCCTTATTACCTCCTCACGGTCCGTACTGCGACGACTTAGCCGTCATCACAAGTCAAAATGTAAGCAGGCACACGCATCCCTTGCATCCGTCCCCTTTGGCCTCGACGCACCGAAGCTAATGCTCAACGCAGGCATATCACCGTGAACGTGAACAATCCGGACGTCGAAGCTCAAGAGCTTCAACTAATAAACCTCGATGTCCCTCCCGATATGACCTTAGCCGACCTCCGAAGTTCTATCGAAGCCGAGGGAATACCTGGCCCGTCGCAAAACATCTACCACAACGGCCAGCTCATCACCGACAACTCCAAGACGTTGCAAGAGCTAGACATTTCCGATGGAGACATGCTGGCACTGCACGTGCGGGACATGAGAGGCAACACTGGCGTTGCGCCTGCTCACCGCGAGCCCCAGAGACGACAGCCTGCTGCTGTAGCCCAGGACCCGGAGCTCATCCGCTTGCAAGTCCTCGGTGATTCTCGACTGAGGGGCGAACTCGAACGAGCGAATCCCCAGCTAGCCGCCGCCCTCGAGAACCCTCAGAGATTCGCCCAGATTTTCCGTCAGAGCGCAGACCAGCAGGAGGAAGCACGCCGAGCACGCATGCGGGAGATCGAGGCCCTAAACAATGACGAGTTCAATCCCGAGTCCCAGGCCAAGATCGAGGACATGATTCGCCAGCAAGGTGTTATGGAGAATCTCCAAAATGCTATGGAGTATAACCCCGAATGTAAGTCATGCTCTTCCTTGGAAATCAAAACCCTAGGTCCTGACCCTCTCTTTTGCAGCTTTCGGTCGTGTGCATCTCCTTTATGTCGACGTCAAAGTCAATGGTGTGAAGGTTAAGGCATTGGTCGACTCTGGCGCCCAAGCCACAATCATGTCCCCGACCTGTGCCGAGGCATGCAACATTATGCGCCTTGTCGACCGACGGTTCGCTGGAGTAGCTCGCGGTGTGGGAACTGCAAATATAATAGGCCGTGTTCACTACACTATGCTGCAACTGGGCACGAAGCACCTTGCGGCCGCATTCACGGTCATGGAGGGCAAGTCAGTTGACCTGCTGCTCGGTCTAGACATTCTTAAAGGTCACCAAGCAACTATCGATCTTGCACGCAACAAGCTTATCATCCAAGGGGAGGAGGTGGAATTCCTCGGCGAATCAGACATTCCCAAGGAGACTGAAGAGGCGGTTAATCAGGAACCAACCGTTCAGGGCCCTGGCGGCACCACTATTGGTGCCCGCTCAGGCGCCGTTACTGGTCCCCAAGTCTCGTCCGCAGGCCCTTCTGCACCTAGCACGTCACGACCTGCGGCTCCTGCGATCCGCCCCGCGCAACCACCAGTTCAGCCTCAGGTCCAGCCTCAAAGAACGTTCCCCGAAAACGACATCAACACACTAGTAGCGCTTGGTTGGGATAGGCAGGCTGCGATTAATGCTTTGGAAGCTACCGGTGGCAACGTCGAATTTGCCGCGTCCCTCCTCTTCAACAATTAATGAACCCTAATCTGCCACTTGCAATTACGACGCGGTACGCATAATCGAAGAACGCAGCGGTAACAATAGCAGCAGCAATAGCATAGCGTGACAACGGGGCAGGTTTTAAGCATGGAGTCTGACAACCATTCGATATAGCAGGTAGAAGGCGCAGCATGGGACATTGGTAATAGGAATTCTTACGTGCACGCAGCCCGAAGACATTAGAGAGATTCGTCGAGCACGTCATGTGTTTTTTGCCAACGTTGGAGCAAATTAATAGGGCGCACTTCGAATCAAGGTCTATTGTGGATTAGAAAGTTACAGTTCTGCCTGATGTGCGTAGGTAATGGATGGCACGTGCACGGGTAATAGATAGCTCGCCCCTTTTACCGCAGCTTATAGACGCAGGGCTTTAAAATAGAGCTCTCATCCACTGCGGCTTGGTCCCCCTCTGTGTTGTCGATGAACTTGACGCCGCCCTTTTTGGGCCCAGAGCCGCGTGTAGGTTCTTTCGAAGCAACAGCGCCCTTGCCAACGGTCGGCGATGCTGCCTTAATGAAGTGCATCTTGACGAACATCTTATTCCTTAGGTCGGCTGCGCCCTGTAGAATGAACCCCCTCTTCCGCAGTGCCTCGACGAACGCGGAAACGTCAGTTTCTTCGCGCTTGTCATCCGCGCCATCCACCTCGACAGCCAGCGCCGTCTCGTCCTCTTCTCCCTCGGGCCCCTCCGCATCCCGTCCCTTTCCCTTCTTCCCCTGGGTCTTTCTCCTATTTCCCACGCTATGGGCAACCGGCGCCCCGTTCTTGCCCTTGCCCTTACCCACGAGCCCGAACCGGCTCTTGATTTCCGCGACCCATAGCTCGCCCTTCCAGTGCAGGATGCGATAGGCTTCCTCAACGAAGTCGAGCCAGTTGGTGCCCATGAGCGCCAGGCAGAAGATAACGACGTCGGCGGCACCGTCAGCAAGCGGCAGGTTTGCGATATCAGCGCGTGTGACCAGCGGGCTCGGGCTCTGCAGGTCGTAGCTGAGGATATCGAGTCGCAGCTTCTTCTTCTCGGGCTGCAGAGCCTCGGCGAGCTTGGCATCTCCGCAGCCCAGATCCGCAATCGTGCACAGGCCGTTGGTGCGCGGCAGGGCTGCCACGCCGGAGGGGCTGGGCGCGGGAGTGGCAGAGTGTCCGTGCCTGGAGCGCTGGGCAGGCTTCTGCCGCCCCCGCAGCTTGATGTCCTTGATGTACCCCTCGACCGGGTTCTCGGGCCAAACGTCGACCTGGCGCCGGAAGCCCTCGTGGTACTCCTGGAACATCTCGGGCGAGTCTTGGAACAGCTGGAACGCGTCGGCTGAGGGTTTGGTGTACAGCGTTTCGTTGAGGTGGCGGAACCGCGCGGACACTAGCTTTTCCCTCATCGCGGCTTGCATGGGCGTTAGTTTTGGTGCTGCTGCGACGGCGGCAGCGGGAGCAGAGACTTTGCTGTTGTCTTTTTCCTTTTCGTCTTTGGATTTGCTTTTCTTGTCCTTCTTTGCCTCCTTGCCTAATGTAGGACCAGGTGACTCCAAAGTTGGCTTGTTGTCATTTCCAGTAACCGGCCCAGCGCCTTCCACGCCATTTTGGCTCGCTTCCTTCTCCCTTAACTTCTTCAGTTTCTTCTTCTCTTTTAAAGTCATCTTCTTGCCATATCTGGGCTTCCCTTCTGGGGTTTCACCACTCTGGTCATTATCAGGTTTGGCCTTCTTCCCCGACCTTCCCTCGATGACCCGTTCCCAGAGATCTGCGACATTGGACGAGTTGACATTTCCTGGTGTGGATGAAGGCCTCTTGCGCTTGTTTGCCTGCTGAGATTCATCTTGAGCCGCTTTTGGAGCCGCTATGGTAGTCTCGGATTTGAGACCGTCCGCAGATACGGACCAACCTGGCACCGCAAACATTTTAATAGAAGGCAATTACAGTTGTGTCAGTAAGCTATAGATTCCTTGGTTATCGACAATTATGGTATCAGCTCTCAATGATGAGCTCTGTTAAGAATAACTAGAATATAACTTGAATAACTTGAATAACTTCGAAAAGTTGAGTAGAGAATAGAAAGATTTAGAGGCAGCAAGTCGTCTAAACTTTTTTGCAGGGATTACTAGCGCAGGAACCTTGGAACGATGTATGTACTATGTACTATGTATCATTTGGACTTGGCAAACGACCCCGCAAAATTGCGGTAACATTGAGAATATCGCCAGTCACGTGTATATATACCTACCTAGGTAGGTAGGTACCTAAGGTAGTAAACAAGGTCAACCTTAAAAGTTTTAAACAAATGCACAGATGGAAGTTCTAAGCTAAGCTGCTTTTCTTCTAATCAATACCTACCTAGGTACCTACCTATGCAATAAAGCTTCCTACCCGGCATTTCCTATTGCCTTTGATGCTCTTGTCCCTACGATCGCAACAAACAAGATCAATTGAATATATACAAGTCACAATATATGTACCTACCTACCTACATGTAGGTAGGTAGGTAACTTGAATCTAGGTTAATACATTATATACAATAAACCAAACCCCACATGAGGCTGCAACTGGATGAAACACCTGGGTCACCAAGCAAGGTTACGAACAGAGCAATATTGCTCATAAATGATGCTACGGCCGGGTAGGGCTCCGAGAAGGGAAGACCAAGGCCTCCACAGTACGATCGACAGTTACACGGCGGCTAGTCAACAATCAGGCCCTCCTATCGTTGATATGTATCGGTTGACTTGACCCAGATCATCAACGGAGAATCCATGGACATCAAGACACGTCGATATTGTAAGTCTCGCAGTTCGAGGTTCGAGGTTCGAGGTTCGAGGTTCGCAGTTTGCAGCTCTTCGTCGCCACAATGTGACACAGACTCTGGCTCAGATTTCCAGCTAGAGGGTTCATGTCTTTACCCGCCTCCGCATTAGCATAGGCACAGCTTCCCCGGCTTAGCTTTTTCACTGCCATAGCAATAAGCCGACCTAGCTAGCACTCTTCCCATTGATGGATATGCAACGGCCGTTTTCTGCATATGAGCGGGGTCACGGGATATAGCATCGCATATTCTGCATTACGACACACTGTTTCTATGTCGTGACTCTGACGCTTCGGCCCATGCTGCTGTATACGTATGGTGCGTATGGTGCGTATGGTCTACAATCGCGGTCACGCCCAACTCCTCAATACTGCCCAAGAAGCTTCACCACGCAATTTCTGCGTCAACCGGAAGGGCTCGAGGCTTCCCCTCCCGAGACACGCGGGAGGGCTACAACACCCGGACTTTGCTATACCTAACTCAGCCTAGGTATTTTTGGATCCCGTTGGCCATAGCATGACAGGGCTCGACTACGTTGAATTGATGACGTTGTGTCATGTCCTATGCGAAGTCGTGTAATGAAACACAAAGAAATAGCTTCAAGTTACCCGTCTAAGGAAGGGAAAAGAGATTTAGGGATTTCCGCTTTCCTTCGCCCGTAAGCTCATGATCTACAACAGCCGGTTTTCCCTCCGTGTATGAGTCCACTTTCTTCAAACTCGACGACAAGAGAGGTCAAGACATCTGCGCAGCAGCCCGCACAAGCTACGGAGCTTAGTTCTGTTATGTATGTCTAGAAGCACGAACTGGTCATCAGCCAACAAACCGTGACTTATGTGTAGGACAATTCGTCTTCGCTACGAGTAAATACGCATTTTCGGTAGCACAGGTAGGCTATATGAGCAATTATCTCTACGAGACAAATTTCCCAGGTTGCAGGAAATAGACCCCAACTGCAGGCGCATCATCAGACGTCGCACCTCGATCTACCGCGACTTGAACGACTCTGGTTGTATGCAGCTTCAAAGGACCCCTCCGGCGTATCGCATCACCACGGCCTCGGGCTCGGCATCTATTGTTACATACAAAGCCATTGCAATACAGGGTCCCATACGGCATTTTGACATATGCTCCTGTTCCGCCGTTATACCACATACTTGTTCTTCACGTGGTGTTGTAGCTCTTTAACGCTAGCAAATAGGGCGACTGAAATTGTAAGCCGTACTCTTCTAGTCGTCCGCTGTCTCCTTTAGTCTAGGAGATGATATTATATCTTACATATGCATTCTTATATTCTTATATATGCATAGAATTGGTCTGTTGTAGGATATACCTTGTTAGGTTTGCGGCAACGGTGTTGAATTTTAGTCACCATGGACAAATCCCCATCACCTCTCCTGACCGGTGCATGGCGTCGGCTCTAGCGACGGATCTATGTATTGCTGAGGCCCGGTCTGGAGTCTGGATTGCTCCACCCGGAAGCTGGACCTAAGCTGAAAGAGTCCAATGACACCGTAACATTCAAGGATCGTCTAGCCTAGCAAGTTTGCCCCAGCCTTGCCGAGGCCTGGAAAGCAGAACCTACCACATACATAGTATATACTAGTATATACTACGGTCTCATCCTTGCCCAGGTTCCTTGCCCAGGTACGACAGCGCTGGCAGGCTGGTAACAATTATCTATACCCCTCCCCCCCCAACCATTCCCACCTTCTGTTCCCCGTGCGAGTGTGCAACCATCTACATATTGTACATACTAGATTGACTGACTTACCCCTTAGGTCTAGACGCTGCCATCTCCAGTTCACATTCCTTATGTCGCACCCAGTCTTACTCTTCGAGGGTTGAGTGTCCCCAATTGCCCACGCCAGCAAGAGTACTCCGATTCTCTTCTGTCGCACTGGATGTTTCACGGAGCGATATAAACTATATGGAAGCAAGTCGTGACCTTCATCTCTTCGTATAATTTTTTTATTTTTTTACAATACTCCTGCCTCTGCCTTGAATGTCTCATTCCATGAGCCAGTCGGAACCGCGGGAATTATTGTATCGTAATTCATCTTCCGATTCCAGGTCCTGCGTAGACAAGACGTCAGAGGCTACCATAGTCGTTACCATAGTCGCCATCCGCATTGGAATCGCTCTTTTCCTGAATTGAGAGGACTCCCCCCCCGAGTATGTTCGGTACCATTCTGTAGTCAGCACTCTCCTTGCCCCAAATCGGGCCAATCGTCTGAATACCATGTGACAGTTTTGATATCTTTAAGCCACTAGACTACAAGATAATCAGCCACCACCTCACAGTAATAAGATTAGGCAGTACGTTAAACTTCCAAGATGAATTCATCGGAGGAGCCAACGGGGGACGCGTCCGCGATATCTCAACTTCCTCGGTCATCAACACCAGAAGAGGGAGATGGCGATAATTTGGCGCCTAAGAAACCGATTGTTCGGAAACGGACGAAGACGGGTTGCCTTAGTACGTAGTAGTCTCGTTCTCCGTTCTCCGTTCTCCTAGATCGTGTGAATAGCGCCAGCTAACTACCGTTAAGCCTGCCGAAAACGCCGAATAAAGTGTGACGAGGGTAGACCGACTTGTAACAACTGCTTGAAATCGAAGCGGCAGTGTGATGGATACAATCAACGGGTTGTTTTCAAAGATCCTTTAGGTGCATTTGCCAATGCTCCCTTTGGACCGATACACTACCCAGCACCCTCTCCTCAGGCATTGGTAAGAGAACAGCAACTATCGGCGGCGCAACAAAAGTCTTCATCACAGGCTTTGCAAATCATTGCCCCTAAACCGCCTGTGGGATACCCTCAAGTGCCTGGATTTTACCCCGGCCAAGTTGGGCAACCCACATCACCTATGAGCTTCGATCCCAACGGACTCGGATCTCAAACTGCGCAACCGAAGTATACCTTTTTTCCACCAACCACTGTTGATGCGTTCTCTCAACATCAGTGGAGGCAGGAACAGCCCACAAACTTCGGTTCGCTTTCATCTATTGCCCCCGAGAATCTTGCCCAAAATGTTGCCCCTGTTCTGCCCCAGCAGCAACAGCAGCAACAGCAGCAGCCAGGCAATGTCCAACTAGATAAAGGCAAGGCTCGTGCTGAACCTGAACGGTATATCGAAGTCGCAGAGCCTGAGTACGAAGAATGGGAATACCCCGTATCAGATGATGAGTCCATGGCGGAGTCGGATGATGTGCCAATTAGTGCGCGGCGCACGTCTCTCGACTTCAACGACTTCGGGGTGGTCGCTTTTCAGAGACTTGACCAGCCGTATGATACGTTCGGAACCCAGACGAGAACATTCTCAGCCTTTGCTCCTGACCTTGCGGCGTATGAGCCGTCACCGTCCAATTCTCCCTTGAACGACAAACAAATAGCGGGAGTATTCTGGCATTTTGTGAACGTAACCGGACCTAGCATATCCATGTATGAAAGATATCCTATTGATCCGTCGCCCATCTTTCAGGGCCAACCTATACCGAAGTCTCGTCAGCATATATGGACTTGTAAGTCAGCTTTCTGCGCTCTTATTAGTTCTCATCACTAATTTATATAGATACCTTCCCAATTTTGTCTTTCACCCATCCAGCCCTCCTCCACGCCGTGCTCGCAATTGCTAGCTTGCAGATTGCAAAACTTCAAGCTCTGCCACCAACAGCATCTCTCAAGCACTATCACCTAGCTTTGAGGAGAATTGCGCGGAACGTGGGTCGGCCGAATAGGCGGTCTCAACCAGCAAATCTGGCGGCAACATTAGTATTGGCATTCTATGAAGTGTGGAACTCCGATCATGACAAATGGAGCAGACATCTACTAGGAGCACGTTTAATCATCAAAGAAATACCGTTCGCAGAAATGACTCGCGCTATGATGAGAATTAAATACCAGCAGAGAATGCAGGAAATGCAGCAGCCTCCGATAGACGCGTATGGAATGTTCACGACATATGAGGAGACAACTCCTATGCATAAAGACTGGGATCATCTAGACGTCCAATTACTAAGTGAGATAACCGGCAAGGATGTCTCGTTTGATGAGTTGGGAATGATTCCTGAAGAACACAGCGCATATCCCAGGTCGAGATATCAGCATACAGATAAAGACATGGAAACATACCAACAATTGAGCGACCTCTTCTGGTGGTACTGCAAACAAGATGTTTATCAGAGCGTACTGGGTGGAACAAGACTATTGTAAGTTCGCATCATGCTGTGGTCTCTATAATATAGCAGTACTGATTAGCCAAGCCTCGAGTATGATGCGTGGACTCAATGCCCACCAAGGGCCCCAATAGGAAGGCTTGATGCTATGTAAGTCACCCATTTTATCCATCCCGATATAACACTAACACGGCTGTTAGATATGGCACGTACGACCACCTTATGCTATTGCTTGGCCGCTTAGCAAACTTTGCATCCAAGGATCTAAGCCGAAAACGTAAAACCTTTAAGATGGCCAGTCCCGGCCCCGGCCCCGGTCCCGGTCCCGGGCGCGGGGGATCACCGGGAATGTTCCCGGGCATGGTGCCTCGTAACCCCGGAACCATTACGGTCCCAATGGGATTCACCCCACCAAGGGAAACATCGCCACCGAACGATGGACTCCCTGAGAATATCGACCTCGACGCTAGTACCGCCGAGGCATATCGCGAGTGGGAGGGAATCAAGCGGGCCTTTGAAATACTCAGGAGCCATTTTGGTCCCGAGTTCGAGGCTCTCGGTACCGACGTTTACCCCGCCAGGGCAACACCGTTTGGCCTCGCCGCGCACTACAGGACTTACTCCATCGCGGGCGTCTGGATGAACTACTACATGGGCCTAATCATACTCCACAGAGCTCACCCCACGATGCCGCCCGTGGCTATGATGGCTGCGGGTATTTCCGCACGGACGACTGCCTCGTACTGCATGGAGGTGGGCCGGATTGCTGCTGGCCTAGAAGAGAATATCGCGCATCTCGCCAACGTGAGTACGCTCATGGCAGCCGCGCTGATAGAGTGCTGCTTCCCCCTATTCGTCGCAGGTATCCAGGTAAGCAAACAAAGCCAACCCAATCCCAATCTCAACCCCCAATTCTCCGCCCACATTAACTTACACAAATAGTACCATGACGATTTCCAGCGTCAATGGCTGATCCAACGACTCCACGACATCGCGCGGCTGACGGGGTGGCAGTCGGCGCGGCAGATCGCAGTAGGATGCGAGTCGTCGTGGACCAAGGCGGCGCAGCTAGGCCGCGGGCCACCATACGCGCGCTCCGTCAACCTCAACATCGACCCCCCTGGCTCCGTATGGGTCAACGCCCGCCGCATCGACAAGCGCATCCAGGAGATCGACGGGGACGAAACCAAGATCGTGCTGGCCAAGAGCGAGAAAGCTTCCTACGCGATGGGTTTGCTGGCTGTCGAGCATGACCTCGAGAAGCTGGATCTGGAGGCCAGTGAGGGGGATCGGCGGTAACTGGAACCAGAGTGGTACTTAGGGTTCTATAAGAAGAAATGCCTAAGGTATGTGGTAGGAATACGAAAATTTCAAGATTCCAGTTTAAAGGAGAGCGAAAACGGACCGTAATATTCCATGATTGTACGGACTAGAGAGATGGAGACTTGGAGTAGGCGTCTGAGAAAAATACGGTTGATTACGTGGGATATATTACCCTATGTAAGTGTAAGGGAGAAGCAACTTAACGAGGAGGGATCGACGGCGGACGGTTTGCTTGTATAAGATAGTACATCGGATTTGGTGATACTTAATACAAAGTCCACCTTCTCAGAAAACTTCGGGTGTCATCAAGCTTAACGGGGTAGAATCTTTTGTCCTAGCCCCTTGTCTATTTGTACTAGATTCTTATTCCGCTAGTACCAGCTCGCCGCGGCCCTATTCTTGGACCCTCCTAGTTAGCAGGTAGTCTCTCCACGACTTGGGCCATCTCCTCGTCCGTGTATATCCTGAAGCCTCGCTCCTTAGTTACGCTCGCCAGCTGCACGTTCTTCGAGTCGAGCTTCTCCTCCATCACTTGCTTCAACGTCTTCAAGACTAGCGTCTCGGCATCTACGATCGTAAGGGACTGCACAGCCATGTTAATAGAACTCCAAGTGACGCTAGTTTTGTAGAATACGGAGATATATATGTGTACCTTGTGATATTCGTTTTGCAATTCTGCTTGTGCGCCCTCGCTTCCGGAGCCGATGGCCTTGGCGTCGTAGCGGTAGAAGGTGCCGCTAGGTTCGGCGTGGTAGAGCTGGGGGCCGTCCTCGTCATAGCCAGCGATCAAAAGGGCGACGCCGAAGGGGCGGCTCATGATGCTCTCCTCGCCATCGGCGCTCTCGCCGAAGCGCAGGGCGAGATCGCAGATGGCCTGGGTGCAGCTCTCGACGCGCAGGTCCTCGTTGTAGTTGAAATTGTGGCTCTGGCACTCGACGCGGGCGTGCTCGACCATGCTGCGAGCGTCGGCCTGCAGCCCGGACATGGCGCACCCGATGTGGCGGTCGATCTCTACGATCTTCTCGACGGACGAAGTCTCCAGCAGCGTCGACGTCACGCGCTTCTCCACGCCCAAGACAACGCCCTCTGACGTTGCGACACCGATCGCCGTCGAGCCGAGCTTGATAGCCTCGAGCGAGTATTCGACCTGGAAGAGACGTCCCTCCGGGGAGAAGGTGCTGAGAATGCGACGTTAGCATTAGTGGGAGGGAGGGGGAGGAAACTTGAGGGAGGGCGTACTTGATACCCCGGTCTGGTTGACGTCCATTGCATTAGCTACCTCTAATAATACAGGCTATCAGAAGCATTGGAGGGGGTTAGGTGCACAGTTAGCTTACCGTATTCAGATCTTGCCATAAACATTTTGAAGGATTTATAAGGGAGACGGTCTCTAAAAGAGGGTTATGGGGTCGTTCGGTCGAGAGTTATACGTCGTTTGGAATGGATGTGGTCGAGATTGGGAGCGGGAGGCTGAATCTAAGTAAAGAAAGGCTGCTGCGTTTACTTTAGGTACTGAGCTCCAAAGCTCAAGGCTGCTACCGTTTACGAAGCTCGGGTTAGGTGTTTGCACCAACCGGGGCTTTGGGCCTAAGCACAAACGGGAAACCTTAATATGGAGCTTTAACCACTAGTATTGCGGGACTATCGTGTTATCGATAAGATATGCGCTTAAGTGCCGAATAGGGGATACATGCAACATTCTATGAAGTTGGACCCTTAAACAAAAGAGATTCAGTTCATACATGTATATGACAACAGAGTTACCACCAACAGCTCACTTCTATAAATTTACAGGTTAAATTATTTCGTTAGCAATGCTATCAGTATATAAGGCATATAAACTTACCTGACGATAGAACGATGTCTACAGCTCCAAGAGATCTTCAGACCATGCCGAACCTTTCTATTAGTCAGGCATACCTAAAGACATACAACTAAAACCGAAGACTGAGGGTTCACGACAAAGTTGATATATATTTCATTATGTTACTTCGCTTCGTCTGAATTTTCTTTCCCTGGCCTGACTTTTCCCGGCTGTAGTACTGGCGGTATACTCGGGCTCTTCAATAGCTCAAGTTTCTCAAGCTGCTTAGTTGCTGATTCTTCGGTTATCTTTTTTCTCGTTCTCAAGATTTAAATATGGGCTTCCATCGCTCATTGGCTTTAATACAATCCTTGCATCTGCTCTTTATAAGAGCCTCGGTAACGTTGACCGTTGGTGATTTTCCAATTTCAGGGCATAAGCTTAGGTCCCTGTCGCTAATCTGTTTCTGTCGTTTATTTTGATTATCGTGGTTCTTTCTTTCATCGCATGTGTATTCAATTTCTTGCACGGCATGCCCGCATTCAGCAGAGGAATATACATACTTGGCACAAATACATTTAGGAGCATATTTATATCGACAACGTAAATCTTTCTTAATAGATCGTATGTGTATTATTTTAGGGTTTTCTGTCATTGTGGGCTATGCAATAGATATTTTTTCCTGGATGCTACTAACAAGTCGAAACTGGCCTCTGGTACTAAAATTCTTGGATTTTCTTTATACTTATATAGGTATCCTACGACCACTGTCTACAGTGCGGCTGTTGCAATAAAATTAATTGTCTTAAAAGGCAGTCACTGATTTGTATCCTGCTAACACAAGCAAATACGAAACGTATTTACCAAAGTCAATAAATGCAATAACTAAGTCGACATTCTAAAACAATTGCAGCAAGTTACGTTTCTGTTTTCTTTGTTCTTAGAAATATGGTTCCGGAACTGACCAGGGCGATGTTCTTGACGTATCAAACATTTTTACGCAAACAAAGATTTGGCTGACTTAACTGATATCATTTTTTCGTCGACATATATCTAAGTCATCTACGAGCATTGTATAGTATCTTACACTTCATACTTTTTATCTGGAAAGGGGTTTACTTAGAACTCAGAATATTATATGAGGATTTCCTTTGGAACTTTTTATTATATCCCGATTAGAAGAGCGACTTTACACCATGGCGTACCTTGCTGATACCGTATTTGCTGACTGGCCAACAGCTCGATATGCCGGATTGAATGTATTACACCAGTTCACACCTAGAGTTCACCTTGTACAGCTGGCTGACAACCCTGAAACTCGACTGGTTGTTAAATACATTACTAATAATATGATGAAGGGAAACATATGGAAAGAGATGAATATTTTGAAGAGGCAGCAGCTTCATCCTTCTATACTTCCTATCGATCGTTTTATACTACACAATAACAATTACATCGTTGGGATGGCAACTAAGTTCGTCCCCGGTGGCAATCTTAATCACAATAAAAACCGAACTTTCAAGTTGAAGTGGCTCAAGCAGCTTACGGAAGCTCTGGATTTTCTTCACTTCGATCAAGGTAAAGCCCTGCCGTAACAAGGCAATCTTCAGTACATGATCATTAAAGTATCTCTAGGCATTGTCCACGGCGACCTCCACATGGATAATATACTGATCGACGAAGCCGCTGACAGACTTGTGCTGTGCGACTTCAGCATGGCCAAAGAGGCTACGGAGCAAAACCTGATGGATGAATTTTGGAGTGTTACGTGGACTATCTACGAGCTGATCACACTTGATTTTAAAGCTGAGGAGGAGCAAGTCCAGAATTCACAACACCAGTACGGCGTGTATAGTTTGAATACCGAATCTATAGAGAAGTTGCCTAGCTGGCCTGTAAGAGCAAAGCTAGATTGTGATGCAGAAGCATTCCGAAAGTATCTCAGGGAGTGGATTAAGATGCGTAAGGAAACTCTGCAATCTGTTAAGGCAAGAAAACCAGAAACCATGGCCAACTCTTCAGAGCAGGGGAGGTCTCAGTGGGAAGAGCCAACACATGGATGCCACGGGGTTCAGAGCAGGACGATACGAATAAATTACCAGCATTAGTGATTACATGTAGGCTTCATAGCTTATACGGTCGATGAGATAGATTATACCAACGAAAGGATATTATAGTAATTAAGGCCGTATAGGAAGAAGAAAAAAAGCTGCTCCTTTTAAGTGGTAGGGATAAAAGTAATAAAGGGTGAGGAACAATTACCATGTGATATATGTAGGTATCCATACCTACCTAGGTACGAATCTCTTACCTAATACATATATGTGTTATTTGCATAGAACCATCCCTTATTAGTGGGTGAACGCGCTTGCTCAGTTTCAACGCGCCCTGCCATCAGCCAATTATCGATAAGGCTCAATGAACACAAGCTTAAACCTCCCACCTAAGGTTACCCTGGACTAGGTATTCAAATAAATACAACAACATTAGTCGACCACTCATGATATCACAGCAAAAGGAGTCCCCAATGTCGCCTTATACTAACAATGTCTTCGAGAGTTTCCAACTACTCAGAGAGGCGCACAAATGGCACCAGCGATAATGACAGCAACCCGCGACCCCGCGCAAGTACTCATGCTTCAAGAGCTTCTCAATCTCAACACGATCAACGAAGCACTCGTTCTCCTCAGACCGCCAATATCAATCCCCCTCATAAGCGTAGCGCCTCAGGCAATCCCCGACCAGCTAGTAGGACTGCCGAAGAACGAAGGACCGAGCGCACGACAGTGACTACTAAAGAGAAGTTAATCTCGAGGACGAGGAGCCCCGAAAGACGGTCTAGGGATGCGCCCCCGCCAGAAAAACGCAAGTCAAAAGAGGTGCCCAAGCCGCGCCAGTCAGACACGAAGTCGAGAGATTCAAAGCCTGATGCGCCGCCTAGTATGTCTCAGATTAACGAGATTTCACCTCGGGGGAACTTGGAACTTGGAACTTGGAACTTGGACTAATTTCTTTTGACTACTAGCATCATGGGAACCCGTGGCTAACCTAACGCCGCATACATCTGCGCCCCTTGCGATACGTGTGTCTATACCTCCTTCAGCGTCGGAAGCGCCACTCTCGCTGCAACCGCAGCCTCTACACGAACTATCCTTAGAGGCCCAAGAGGCCGCTATAATCGAGGATTTATTATTTGTTTTCATGGGCTACGAGGGGCAATATGTTCGCTATGCGTATTCGTACGACCCCAACGAGGAGAGGGACCGACTGGCCGGACCCGAATTTAAGATACTTCCCGGCCTCGATCCCAGTCTTCAAGATCTAACTCTATCAATGCTCAAAATGGCTACTTACTACTCGGCCCTTGAGACATTTGTCGATGTGCAGAGCAGGGAAGAATTTGGGGCTGTCAATCATGCCCTATGTGCCGCAATCAGGAAGTACTTACACGACTATCTGATAATGATTGCGCAGTTGGAAACGCAGTTCTTGACCAATGATACTTTCACCTTACATCTCCTCAACGTTCATACACTCCCTACAAGTCAGATGATGTTCCAGCTCTATTCATTAGCTCACGAATTTCTCAAGAGGAACGCGCTTTTGGATGACGAGAGCTCGGAGGACTCAGATCCTGACGATATTGAAAATATCCTAGAAAATTTGAAGCGAGGCGGCGAACTCGTACCGGGAAATATGACCGGAAAGAAGGTTTGTAAGGGCGGCGTGGTTATAGGCCTAATTACTAAGAGATTGGAAACCATGTCCGGAGATCCTGCTGCCAGATCATTACTCACATCCTTGCTACGCGATGCTAGCCGGCCGTATATGGAGATGTTGAACGAGTGGTTACATCATGGCGAAATCAGAGACCCGCATTCCGAATTCCTTATTAAGGAGCAGAAGAGTATTAGACGCGACAGGTTAGAGCAGGACTATACCGACGATTATTGGGAAAGACGATATACCGTCCGAGAGCATGACATACCTCCACAGTTAGTAGCCGTCAAGGAAAAGGTCCTGTTGGCAGGGAAGTATCTCAACGTCGTGCGGGAATGTGGCGGAGTCGACGTTAGTAAAGTCGCCCAAGATGTTCCCAAGTCCTTCGACGATCCGCACTTCCTCGACAATGTCAATAACGCTTATGCTCATGCGAATGAATCGCTTATGAAGTTACTCCTAACTACTCATGCTCTTCCCGCTAGGCTGCAGTCACTGAAGCATTACTTCTTCCTCGATCCGTCTGATTATTTTACCTATTTTATGGAACTCAGCGCATCGGAACTACGAAAGCCGGTCAAGTCTGTCAACGTCGTCAAGCTGCAGTCTCTCCTCGATCTCGTTCTACGGCAGCCGGGAAGTATTGTGTCTATGGACCCATTTAAAGAAGATGTACATGTCGAGGTGAACGAAGTCGGCCTGATAAAGATGTTGCAACGAGTCGTAAATATCACAGGTATTGAGCAAGGGGAGGCACTACAACCTCTAAACAACCAGCCTATCGAAAACGATAAGAATGCAGTCGGCTTCACCTCGCTGCAACTCGACTACACAGTACCGTTTCCCGTATCGTTGGTCATTAGTCGGAAGACGGTATGGCGTTACCAAGCGCTATTCCGTTATCTTCTGTCGTTGAGATATCTGGAGTCACAGCTAGCGACTACATGGCAGACGCATAATACAGGGGTTGTTTGGTGCCACAAGTCGTCCATAAGACGTATTGAAATTTGGAAGAGGCGAGTGTGGACCTTGAGGGCGCGAATGGTGGTTTTTGTCCAGCAGCTACTCTATTTTTGCACTCTAGAGGTCATCGAGCCCAATTGGCAGTCTCTGATGTCAAGACTCAAAGCCAAGGATGGGAGTTTAGATGGGTCGGGCAAACCAGACCGGACCGTGGATGAATTGATGCAGGACCATGTGGATTTCTTGGACACTTGCCTGAAGGGTTGCATGCTAACTAACGGCAAGTTAATTCGAGTAAGTGGCTACAAATTATCGCGGCTACCGCGTCTCCGCTCACATATTTCCAGATCCATTCGAAACTAATGCAGACCTGCACCGTATTCGCCGCTCATATGAATTGGCTGTCGCGTGAGCTTGAAAAGTCTGATCCGGATTTAATCGGCCCTATAAAGCCACCCAATATGACTGACAAGGAGTGGAAACGATTCCAGGCTATAAAGTCTCAGAAGTCGCATAGCGATAGCGGGTCAAACAGCCATCTCCAGGATGAAGAGACCCGGGTCAACAACCTATTTGAGATCATCAGAAACTGGGAGAAGAACTTCAGTCGGCATTTGCAAATCCTGCTAGACGCCCTAAACCATTACGCAGCCACGGAGACCGTGGTTCTACTAAGCTTGTGCGCGAGACTAGCAACTGCTAACCAAGGAACTGATTTCTCGGGTCCTCGCAATGAGGAGGACGCCGCCGCATAAGTGTCCCATATCAGCTATGAAGCTTCCGACACGATGCATCGGCGCGGCCAGGATATCCCACGGATTGAGACTTATGACAGGCGTTTAGGCGAGACGAAAATAGTTGGCGTAAGGCATAGCTGTGGGCTACGCAGTGAGGAGATATAGATACCTTGGAATTATGAATTAATCGGTACTCCAAATACACATGAACCCCCTAACCCCTCTTTCGCTAGGACTTAGAGACTAGTTCTCTAACTAAGCAAATAACACTTTCTAAACTTTCCACTATCTTAGTTCACGAGTTTGTTGTCACATTATAAAAGTATTCATTATGCGGAGACCCAACCGCGAGGTAAGCTCGCAGGTATTTCATTGAGTGAGGATGTGATTTTAAACCCAGCCGAAATTTTATACGCCGGTTGATGCAATGCAATACAATCGTAACCGCATTCCACATCATGTATAGGTTAGGTAGTTATATAGTACAGGCATTTATAAACATATCTCATACCCCTTCCCTTTCCTTTTCTCTTACCGACAGTGAGTGCCCAGAGGGCTAGACTGCTTGCGCGCATCAATTGGCGCCTCTTAGCTCCTTCACGATCTTGACTAGTTGGGCCTTGTCGACGTCCTTGCCGTCGAGGGGCCCGTCGGGAGCCAAGAGGGTCTTCATGACGTCGCCGAAGGGAGGGGTATCGCCGATGGGCGGGACGGAGGCGGCAGCCTCGCTAGTCATGGCGGTAAGGACGCCGGCGACGATGGCGCGCAGCTCGGCCTCGGAGGTTTCTCGGAACCCGCTTGCGGCGACGTACTCGCCGAGAATGGCGACTTGGGTGCGCTCCTTGTCGACTAGGTCCTGGCGGCCGGCCGCTTGGAACTCGGCGGCGGCGTCGTCGGAGGCGCGCTGGGACTTGCGCAGGAGCGCGACCAGCTGCGCGTCGGTGGTTATGGGGGATGCGGTCTTGGAGGCGTTGAGGACGGCGGAGAGGACGGAGCGGATGGCGTTTAGGCGGGGGGCGTCTTTGGCACGCACTGGGGGGAGAGTAAAGTCGGTTAGCTGGTTTTTGTCTAGAGTAGCTAACGGAGCTTCGCGGGACGACAAGGTCGGCGGAGATATAGAGATGACGCACTCGCTGCCTTCAGATCGCCTTTAATCTTTTGTAGTAGAGGCGGCGGTGGCGGCGCCTCTTCGCTCGAGTAGAACCGTGCGCCGCATCTGCGGCTCAGGAACTCGGACGTCGTGGGGGTCGTAGAGGGGTATGATGCGATGCGTGTCCGCAGTCGTAATCGCTCGGCGACGCGATTGAAAGGTCGTAAGGACGCCATGGTTGGAAGTCTTTTGTTTCGGTGGCCTTATTTTTACCCTTTTTCTTCTTGGCAATTTTCAAAGTGTGGTTTGGGTCCGGGGATAATTATATTCAGGGGAGATTGGATGATGTCGAACCAATCGAGTTTGGATTTCGGTACAATGAAAGTTCCCGGTCGGTCAGGCTTTCCTTACCTTACCTTGGGTTGGGTACCTATGTATCGTCCAAGCGTAAGGTGGCCAGTGATATCACGATCGTCACACTAACCGGTGGGAAAGCTGTGGGCAGAAGCTGAGGAAGCTATGTACCGAAAGGCTATTTATTGTATGTGCGACTTTGCGAGAATGGAAGCTGAAGAATTGAATTAAGTTTTAAGGGTCGGCTCCTATTGGTTCCCGCTGCTCGCGCTATGCACGTCCTAACTCAATGTCCTATAAGCTTAAAGTCTCTTTAGGGCCATAATCGGATTATAGAATATCTGGTTAAAAAGCTTTTACCTGCCGGCGGGAGGACTTGCTGCTTACTTGCTGCTTGTTGAGAGTTCCAGCTTGTTGAGTTAGGCTACCTACCTAGGTAGGTACCTATGTATGACATGTATGTATTTCTCATAAATATCAAATATTGGGAAACGGGATGTCGTAGGATACATGGCCTGATAGGACGTCATTTACAACCCATGCTTCCCTATACCGAGTATGGTTGCTTAGCTGATCGACGGTCGGGTTATTTTTCATATGCTAAGGCTCACCCGAGGCTCACCCAAGGCTCACCCAAGACACACCAGGCACACTAGGCACACCAATGACTCCCAAGGCCCTCGTCAATGTTTCAAGGAGATATTACCTGCATCATATTAGATAGAAAGGGATCTAGGAAATATCACCTGACAGATAATGGCAGCGAGATGCCCTACCGGGTAGCAAGGGTCGGGATGGGAGTTTACATCCGCGGTAAGGCCCACTACCATCACGTACAGCCCAACGGTTTTGTCCTTGGCCGCCACTTCGTTACACAGTCACATAATCAATCACAATTAACAGCCGGAGCAAACGCTCGTAATAGAGAGTGACACACGGCAAATTACCCTTACCCGTGCGGTTGAGTAAAGGCAATCTATTTCAACCGAGATGACAATTTTCAGCGATTGGTCCGGTTGGTTAGTATATAATCTTGCAAGGGGAGGGGAGGAGAGGAGGCTGTCTCACTCTCTGTCTTGTCACTCGCGGTTGCAACGTCGTGGATGGTGGCCACGCTGCTGCCCTCCGAACAACAAGCAGTGGCAAGGCCCGGGTAGGGTAGCCTCAGTAGTCTCAGTAGTCTCAGTAGTCTCAGCAGTCTAGAACACGGCATTTAAGAATTTGGAAACAAAATAGGACCGGGGGTGGCCCACTGGCAAGTTGGTCCGCCCGCGACTAGGAGGCCGGGAATGCGGGCGGAATGAGCCATCAAAAGGAGATGCCGTGACAACGGCTCTACCCGCCCGTACCTGCTTAGATACTCGAAACGGGGCGTATTTCTCGATGCTAGCCAGTAAGATTGGCTTTTATGTGTGTGTATGTGTTAGGTATGTGTGCGTGTTACGCATCCCATGTACTTTTATACTTTTATACTTTACATGTGTATACCCTAGAGTACATACGCGTGTGTATGGAATACGTACGAAAGCAACGTGTATCGTGTTGGGCAGGAGGTACCCTATGGGTATTTTCTCGATTGGGTTGAGACACACGACCCGACTAGTTGGACCCGAGACTCTGGTAGAAGGAGCAAAGGGGATCCCTTGATTTGCTGCTTCCCTTTTGGCTGCAAACCTTAAGCTGACCTCATGTCCTGCCTTCCAATTCCCTCCCTCTCTCCACTCGCCCCTCTCCGTCTTCGCTGTCTTTGTTTCCCATAAGTTCCATATGTATGTATAATCCCGTATATCACATAACCCTCCCCCAACACCCAACATCATTCAAAGCCCACGCCGGTCAATGTTGTATCAACGTATATTCTATAAATGCAGCCATGCCCTTATCTGCTGATTGTTCAACGTACAATATGCGAAGCGAAGTCCTTTTCCCAGAGGCAGGTGGGTTATAACCCGTAGCGGCCCTACTGGCATCCTACACAACCATCTCTACATAATCAAGCCCCCACCCCCTTTTCTCTCCTAGGATGAACGACCGAGCAAGCGATACGATGTTGACCCGATTAGTCTAACCTGCGTCTGCTTTGACCCGCCGTATACCTTGCCTCTCCACTGCGGCAAGGTTTCCTTCCGGGAGAGCCGCCAAACTAGCTCCCGCCGACCTCAGCGCCTCGGCTTTCTACCCACACATACGTATCTTGGGTAGCAATTTGTTAGCCTTCTGTCAAGTTTGACATTCGCCGGAGGCTTGAAATGGGGATGACTTACAACCGAAAATATGGCTATTATTCCACAATACTTATCAGCCTCGTCCACGGTCCATTGTGTACATTTGGGTTGAGGAATTAGGTCAGGGCCTTACCTTTAGTGCAGGGTTGGTAGCTTCTGCTCTCGCCTGTGCCACCAAGACGTGAAATTCCGTAATAGTCATGCTGCGAAATGTCAACAATTCCCTGTGCAGCTGGCGCATTCTTGAACGAATCGGTATTGAGCTTACTTTAGGAGCTCTGTGAACGGGTACAAGGCTAAAGACCCGAGCAGCAATCGAACGTTTTCTTGGTTGTGAACACCAATATCAAAGTCTCTTTGGCCTACGCGAAATATTAGGATCTAATATTCAGAAAAACCAGGCGGCACCATACTATCAGACCAGCCGCACATAGGTAAGGGGATCACTGCCAAACAAAAAGTTAGCACATGCTGCTTCATCGAGCTAGGGACCAGACGTTGATTGAAGGGGGTCACTGCTAAATTGAACCCAATGATCGGGCGCGAATGGAATAAGCCTAGGGGTGGGTGAGCTTTCAGATACCTACTTCGCTCCTCGACATCGGTAAAGCCAGCTTGCCTCATCCAATGCGCAAGACGTCGTGGCGCTTCGACGTTTTTGAGCTGCGACATTGCTCGGCTGTATTTGTCTGACCATTGGCGAAGTGCGTGACCTATTGGAAATCCCGTGATGAGCATACGCACGTCTCGCTACAGAGCTCGTTCCCCTTACCATCTGTCAATGTACCATTGTCGGACTGTGCGTTGTAATCGATTTCAACCATTTGGCACCATCCACCTCGGCGCAGACACCGGAGGATATCACGTATGTATTCGATCCATCGATTACGGTCGATACCTCCGGCTACAAGTCTACTATTCACAAGGTCGAAATGATTGGAAGGAAACGAAAGCCTGCAAAGATGCTAGTTGAGATTTCCGTTCTGATAATCGGGCATTTCGGTTCTTACGGCATATTTAAGTTGTCGACATTAAGGTAAAGGTTGTCAACACTCTCCTCGGGGTTATAATGATGGGGGCTCACGTCGATGCCAATGACCTGAATTCTCCAATGTTAGCTAACGGAGAGTCTTCAAACGATAAATATGTCTTTCCGCGAGCCGACTGTTAGCATCAAGCTCACCAACCCAATCTTCTTGTGGTTGAAACGCGCTGGCTGCAGCGGCTTTCTAGCTCTGCCCTGCGGTCCAGGAGATGAAACCTGGACAGAAGCCTATCGCATCGCAAGAGAAGGTAGACGAGTTATCCGCTCGAAGACGTAGATGTTAGAAAAGACTCTGCCGAGGGGGTTTGGTCCCGGGTATTGGGGATCCGTGGAGTACGACCGATGCAAGAAACGACTCTATACGTGCCTCGCACCTAGGATTCTCCCAAGCCACTTGGAAAGCCCACATTCCCGTTCCGAAGCCGCAGTCGAGTACTCGCCTTAGAGCACCCATGGGTGGGAAGATAGATCTCCCGTCAAACACCATGGCTAAGACGTCGTATTGGATGCGCAAGCGAATAGTCTCATCCTGCGAGAGGTGCGTCGACATCAGTTTGTGGGCCCGATTCGAAAAGGAGTCTTTGGCGTCTGCAGACCTCGTCAATAGGCACAAGATATATCCTGCGGTCCACTGAACAGCGCTGATATATTCTGTTGTGGTGGGTAAAGGTTTCGCGCACTTCGTCGGTGACCTCTTCGGTGTCGGCGTGCCTATTAGCGGTTTAGTGAGCAGAACATTCCTGCTGAGGCTTAGGGCATATCTACCCAGTCATTTTATGATAACGCTAGTTCTGTTAAGGGGAACCAAGCAAAATATCTAGTTAAGAATATCGTGAGGCTGTCTTCCAGCTAACAGGCTATATGTTCGAGATAATGTGTGGCCTAGATGAACAGCCATAGGCTCCCGAATGACGGTTTTTATCCAGACCGGCATACTCGGTTTGGGCTTCCAACACCATCAACGCTCACCACTCTTTCGACGAGGAGGCCGTCTGATCTCCTCTTCACTAGGTACATGGGGACCGTTAGTGGAAAGTGGTATATTGCAAGAATAATAAAGCTGTTTAGGCGTGTGTGGAGCCAATGGCCCGGTCAAACAACCACATTGGTCACACGTCCACAGCTTGCACCCCACGAGCTTTCTGCTGTTCGCCGATCCTAGGTACTACGGTTACTCCCTACGTATGCATCAGACCTTCCTGATCAAATCAGCTTAGATATAGACCATTGAAGCATATGAGCAGGCATCTGAGTCCCCTAGGCCTGTTCCTCTCTCTCTACCACTCCATGACCCAATGCACCCGCACTAGTTCCCGTCCCTCTCTTGCATCGTCCATCGGAAAAGAAAGACATTGCTGCCCAAGCCTGCTTCTTTACTTATTATTCTTGGCATATACTTCGCCCAATGGCTATTTGATTTGGATGCTGCGGAGGTTCACATTGCATTGAATGACATATAGCGCAGAAACGGTCTTATATCTGGCTAGGTGGGATTAAGCAGCCACGTATGAGACTTAACGTATGCTTGTGATTGATCGTACCGGTTCGGTAGTCTCTCGGTACTGTAGTTACCTTCTTTAAAGTTGCTGACAGTTTATTGTACTGTGCCTCGTGTTGCTCTCAGCAAGATCTGATCAGTTGATGCGGCCGTAACCAAGGGTTTGGAATTTTGGACGGCTTTGTAGCCGCGTTCAGCGCGAAGAGCTTCCAGACTAGACTATCCAAGAGATTTAACAGCGGCAATAGGGGATAAGAATCAGGGGAGTCTTCGGCGAGCATGAAAACGGCTCCGCCTAGCCCGGTTTTAGAAGAACCAGCAGAATTCCATAGAGCTGTAGTGAAGGGAGTTCAGGGACCCAGCTCTCTGGACCGGCTGTGGCTTCATTTCCATGTGCCCCTATACGGAGCACACGCAGGATGACGGCTACACCCAACGGGGTATCCTTAGCACTCGCAGGCCTTGGCTACGTCTTAGGATTCCTACAACCTACCTTGCCGCCAGACGTCCCAGAAAGCTATATTTCAGAACCCCTGGCGAACTGCCACGGGAAAGACGCACGAGAGTCTTTGGTAAGCATGCCGGATGCAACCTGAGTCAGAAAGAATATATTACTTGCCAATGACTTTTAATCTACTACGTATTACGGATGTAGTCAGTCATAGACATATTTCACGTACATGGCGGGCCACCATGACGACAGGGATAAGGACCTCGAATGGCCTGGTTACAGTGACTTGTTCGCAAGGTAACTAGCCCAGATCATTCATGTCCACTTAGTATTAGTACATATGCGCGAGGGGAGCAGGCTCACCCGGGTCCTGGGACGACAAGATTGGCGTGACGATCGCGGTGCCTACTATTACTTACAGCTCCTTATGTGCGACTACCCGGACGGTGAAGAGATTACGGGATTTCCTTATTTTAGTATGGCTTCCTCACACCGCCACTGTGGTCTGATGAAAACTAAGTTCAACAACCTGGCTAAGAATCAGCGATGGTGCTTGACCGGCAAATGGCTGTTTTTCCTAGTTTATTTTTTGGTCTAGGACGACGTGCTGCAGGCGGCGTCTCTGGGACCGCCGGGGGATGTTTATTATGCCTTGCACCCATTTAATATGGGTTAAAGGATACCTAGCATCGCAAGAGATCAGAACAAAGCGGGCCGTTGCAGTGGAGATAGCATTAAGAGGGACGACGCTAGAAATTGGGAGGGGGGTGGCGGCGATCTCCAAGTGGTCGGTACGGCGGTACCAATACGTTTCTAGGCTGAAAGTACAGTACAGTACTGGCCTCTACCGCCGAGGGCTTGCTATCAGCAAAACGAAAAGGGGTCACTATTCTATACTGGCAACCGCTTCGACAACTAGAGTTCCCTGCTGAGATGCGTAGCAAGGTCGTCGACGTTGAACTAGATATCTTAGCGGCTCATAGTCGGCCTCACAAGTTGTATAAAGAAAGGATATGAGGGCTAGGGCTGGCGAAAGTCGACATCCACGTTTCTGGTAAGAACTCTTTGCCGAGAAGAGTGGCAGAGGTCCATTCGTTGTTCGACGCTAGCAAGTTACCCCTGGTCTACAGGAAGGATTATGGTCGGGATAGGCCCACACATGGTTAAAGCCTCGGTGCCCTTATACATACGGTACTACACGCGCACGCAATTTTCCCTTGCTGCTAGGACGGCGCCCGCTCCTCTGGATCACACTCTCATGCTTCACGACGGGTCATCATGTAGGCTACGGTTGAAGTCGGCTTTTCTGGGACTTCGGTTCAAGTTTTGGCGGCTTGCAAACCTGCAGGTATCGATTATAGCCTCGCTGGAGCATCTCAACATCTCACAGTCTGATCTGTATCTGTCTTCACCATCGTTAATCCCTTCGTCATCATCGCAATCATGTGTCTTACTCTAGTGAGCCATGCATTAGCGTGTACCAGAGTATCGGGTCAGACACTACAGGCGTGATCGTATCCGGATCTAAAAGAGAAAAATAGCGGAAAAAAGCCGGTGGCCTCGACGACTAATTTGGGCCAGCCTCACTCTCCGCTGCGACGATGGCCAATGATAATCCTTGTTTATCATTACCCTGCGAATCTGCCAATACTCGATAGCCGTGGCTATGTGTGTACCGTCCTCTCGGCTACTACATACTATGTTTGTAGAGAAAATAACCCTCGTAAGCAAGGATCCCGTAGTAGTGTAGCCACATAGCGGGCACGATACAATACGCAAGCGCAAGCGATCTCCATCACGTGCGAATTGGGAGGGGTGCAGATGAGCTTGAGAACATGGGAGCATGGGAGCATGGGAGCATGGGAGCTTGGGAGCTTGGGAGCTTGGGATTCAATATACATATACATGGCCTTTGTACCACCAGCCCGAAGGTCTGGATCTAGGTATTTCCCGGAGGAGCTTGGCTGGCCTACCAACGCTAGAAATTGAGGGGTCGGTAAGAAATAGGTTGCTACCATGCGGGAAAGTCTACGTACAGTACTTACGTCTGGTTAGGAACCCCTTTGAGGCTAGATTGGCTTGCAGTTCTCCCGTCCATGCGCTACGCTTGATTGGCAGGGTCAATCCAATCCAAGACGTCTTTCAGTTCCAAGCGCTCCTTTCGGGTGCGGCAGCATGCAGACGCGAGGCGAAGGTGCCTTACCGCCTACGCGGGAACGCCTTACATGTCCTTACATGTCCGTTGCGACTTTGGAGTCAATGCTTGGGAGCCCGGAGCGTTGAAACTGTAACGAGGCTTCTTACCCAGCAGACTGGTAAGTCGATCTCATGGGTAGCCTGACGACATTTCCGCGGGACCGGTTTGAGGATCTATGTATCTCGCCTCTTGCCGTCTGATAGATAGACAGATATCTCTTCCCCACGGAGGAACGAGGCGAAGCAAAACGCAACCTCACCCATTCGATGTGCCGTCTACTCGGGTCACTCTGGATCAGCTTTTCCATACTGCTACATAATTTCAATAATACATTTTTTAGTCTCGCCGCCGTCGCCGCCGCCGCCGCCGCCGCTCGGTTACAATGACGTACATCTGGTGGCCTCTCCTCTCACGACGGTAGATTTAAGCATCTGCCGAGCAGTATGCTACCCTCCCCTCCAAACCCATCACCGAGCATACAGCGACATAGCATGCAGGCTGTCCCGTACCGCGACGTAGGATATTGCTAGTATATCTAAGACATGGGTTCTTGATACGCGGAGTAAAGTCCATGAACGTCGACCTGATAGGTACAAATTCGATACCGTACCTAGTAGAAATAAGGTAGGTACGTCAGTAGGGTGGCAAGGCAGAGTAGTAGTCCCGGGCATACAAACATGCAGCATGAGCTGTTCTTTGAGCCCCCAAGCCCGCGCCATCGTTCTGATACGTCAAGTTTATTTTCAATTCTCTACCTTTTTTTTCTCAATAATTATTTTTCTCCTTTTGTCTTTCTTCACGTTCACGCCCCCCCCCCCCCTCTACACCCTCTCTACCCTCTCTTTTCGGGCTCTGCTTCGGTGTATCAAGGAGGCGCTACTGGACCTTGTCAGTTGTTTCGACGTAGGTAAGGCGCATGGAAGCAACGCGAATGGAGGAAATAAGGGGGGAAGGGGGTGAGAGGATGAGAAAGGGCACAGAGAGAGGGTTATGTTATGTATGGGAACGTGGTACGCGACACCCCTGGATTTAGAAGACCGGCCTGCGGCATAGGTAATAGGCAATAGGTAGGCAAGGCAAGGCAAGGCGAGCGAACAGGGTCTAGGTAGGTGGCCCTCACGGCAGCGTCCTTCGGGCAGACCCCCAATCGCGGGCCGTCCGGGGTCGAGGTCGGGGTCGTTGTGTGGGTTTGACGTGGTTTGTTTTCTCTAGCCTTTCTGCTTTGCTGGGTCTTTGCCGGGTTTGTTTGGCTAGGGTCCGTATTGTACAGATACTCTGAAATATGACAGGTCACATATCACTTTTACTTTCTTTTTTTTTTTTTTCCCCTTCCACCTCTTCCCTGAACCCTGACACGCTGTCCCTCTCTCTCGGAACCGTCTCTTTTCTCAACCGTTTTAATTTATTATTATGGGGTTCGCTCTTGGATATTATTATTGTCCTTTCTTATGTCTTTTCTTTCTTTAGCCACTTGTGACTTGACGTTACCTTTCTTTTCTTAGTAAGCGGAGAACAGCTCCTGATTATTATCGTCAATATTATCGTCAATATTATCGTTGTTATTATTTATATTATCGATATCATCATCATCATCATCATCATTTTTTTTTTCATTCTCTTCTCGTTGCTTCTCTTTTGGCGTGGCCGTACATATGTAGGGTTAGTGATGATTGGGGGGACGAACATTTCGAGTTCCTGGAATGCTACTTTCTGGTTATTGGTTCCTTAGCCCTGGTAAGCCAGAGTGCCGACCCGCCCCAACCGTACCAGCCGCGCGTGTTGGGTTTCTGGGATGCTAAGTAGCATTACCTAGTATATATACATAAGTAGCATGGATGTTAGCATGTTAGCAAGGGTATGGCATGGGTAGACGACTCCGCCGGTAAACGTTTCTTCAATGTTGGATGTATATGCAGTGGCTCACGGACCAGGAAATCAAATCGTCCTCCCCTATGTACATTGAAACTGGATGGCAGGGTGGGTACGTACATCGTACATATATCTACGATTGTTGGAGTGCGAATTCCCGTGTTAAGCCCGGTGCTGTTCCATTGTGTCGGTAACAGCTATAAACTTCAGCGCATACGGAATATTTGATAAACATGGCAGAAGCAAAGAGCAAAAAGCAAAAAGCAACAAGCAATAAGCAAAAGCAAATCTCCTCATCAGCCGGATATAACCTACGCGCCTGCAGTGGAAATTAAAATTAAATTACACAAATATGTATGTCTCACGACTTATATGTAGGCTCCATAGTGTGTAGAAGCTCTAGATTTCGTAGCCTACCGTGCCGTGCTGTGCCGTGCTATGCTATGCTATTTTATTATTTTATGCTAAGCTGCGCTGTGCGCTGTGCGCTGTGCTGTGCTCCTTGCTGTTGTACACTTTGATGACCACTTTGATGACCAATCCATGGTTGTTCCCCGTCTACCCATACATATAAGATCATGCAATTCAATCAATGCCCGTTCCGTATCCGTGCCCTCTTTCCATGTCACGATGAGACGCGTGCCCTTATTTCTTACTTCTCTTTTTTTTCCCTTTCCGTTCCGTTCCGTTCCGCCGAGCCGTCGGGCGACAGCAAATACGAGACAACTTTGCTTCTTGCTTCTCTCGCAGGGCGGGACTGGTACTGTACATACTGATGGACAGACACACGTATGTGTGCGCGCGTATGTGGGAACAGACAAACCACGCATGTGACCTTCTCCTCCTTTCCTCATTATCGTTTTGGATGTCGTTGGGTTAGGTAGGCAAGTGCTTAGCACCAAGTGAACACCGGATTCCTAGCCTTGACGGTCTCGAGCCGCTCCACAATTACCTTCCGCCTATTGCCATCCATCGTTTCAGCCGCGGCGTATCCCAAATCTCCTTCCATGTCGTCCTCGTCGTAAGCGTTTCCGTTACCGTGGAGCCTCGCGGTGAGCGAGTTGCCATTGATACCCGTCGCAAACGAGTACCGGCGTTCCTTGCGGGGTGTGTACATGTTCATCTGCGTGCGCGATGGACCCTGATAGCTTGACCTCGGGGGACGCGATAGTTGTGGACGGGTGCTCGATGACAGAGCGTCGAATGGGTTCTGGGATTCGGCTCGTTCTGGAGACTGCTCGTGGGAACTCGCGAGTTCGAAACGCCCGGGATTCGGTAGCGGACTAGAAAACCCAAGCAAGTCGTCAACGGTACCAGCAGGTGCTGATGAGTTGGCTGCGCCGATATCCATTTCCTCCTCGATAGCGCCGTGAGCCTCGGGGTCAGCCCTACGACGCGCTTCAGACGACGTGGCGCGCATGGGTACAGCGACGGGAACTTCGACCAAGTCGTCCCAAACACATACCCTAGCGCGTCGTGTAAGTTCCAGCGGACCGTGGTCCGGGGTCTTCAGCGTTTCGACAACGTTCCAAGCCTGTCCCTTCATCACGGCCATCTGCCGGGAGAACATCTTCTCCTGGAAATCGGGGTCGATTTGGAATACCTTTCGTAGCTCGAGCGAAGTCTGGCTCCACCATTGCGTAGAAGTAAGAAGAGGTAGGAAGTGATCCCGCGTTTTCTGGGAGAAAGGTCGCCCAATAAGATCAACAGGTAGGAAGAGCCAACCGAAAGGGAAACTATCAATGGTAAGTTTATCTTCTTATAGGTTTATCTTCTTAGACAAGGTAGAACGTGAAATGTAAGTAGGTACCTTCGCCATGCGTCCGGGTGCTTCCACGGCCATGATAACGAGTTGTCAATCGCCCCAAGGGATATCTTAGGGTCAGGATTCGTGCCCGCGCTCGTGCTCGTGCTCGTTGCATTCATAGGTTTCTGGGCCTTGTAGGGGTTAGGGCTCCTCGAGTTTCCGCTCGCCGGTAAATGTACAGGTCTTGCAGGTTGTTCGTCGTCTTCTTCTCTTACATCCATGTTAAGTTGTGGAGGTTCGGAAGTAATCGAGACTGCTTGCGTTTCCCAATCAACTTTGACCATCCAATTGTCGAGACCTCTATCCGTATTCCGCATGATGTAATCTAAAATGACAAGTTTTTCGAGCTCTTCCCGGAACGACTGCTTCAGCGACTCAGTCCACCTAAAGTTGCCAGGTCCAAGAGGCTGTTGTTCAGGGCCATTGCGTTCATCTTCGCTCTCACTGTCGGCATCACGAGGAGCTCTACTAGACGGTCGACAGCTTTCTGCCCACCTTCTTTGTTTATGCCGGTGAGTGTCGTTTGAGCGAAAGCTAGACCAGTACTGGTCCGGCCAGGGGTTTTCCCTTAGGAAGACGTTGGCATCTTTAAACCCCTTAAGGAATACCTGAAAACTCCCTGGCTTTGCCGGAAGAGGCTTCCTCTTCCTGTAAAAGCTCCGGCGATCCCAATATGGATAGTGAAACGACTTAGATGATAGCCAGATAACATCGGTATAAGGGACAATGTGGGTACGGAGTTGGCAATCAAGAACATACGCTGCTGCCTCGCTCACGTATGAGAGATTGGGTATCAGACTGTAAATAAATTAGAATGTTGACTGTCGATATATATGCGCATAGATTGGATTATAGGTACTTACCATGCTCGACCAAAACAGCAAGGAAATAAATTTCGATGAATCCACTTGTTCCATTTCGGGTTTCCGGCAGCGTACGGTTCTTCATCCTTGGGCTTGAACACGCCAACAATCTTACCGTCGGTATTCCGCGCAAAATAACTCCCTGAGCTACCTTGCGTGATCAAACTCGGATGCATACCTTGGTCAATGGCGACTTGCACGCTCTCGACGATAGCTTCGAACTCAGCTTTAGACATGGCGGGCTCGGGCATGGAGGCAAGTGTTTCGGGAGTCGCGGGTCGGACACCCTGAGGGGGTTGGAAGACGCTATAATGAATTTCGAGACGCTCCTCTTCACCTAAACTGCCCCTCCCCTTCCCTCTTTTGAACTTTGATGCGATTTCGTCGGCCCATCGTTCTAGACGAGCGTTTATGGCTTTGAGGTCAACACCCGAGTTGCTTCGCATCCGTCTTGACTGATACTTGAGCTTCGTGAGTGTCTTCGGCGACGCCATGCCCGAGTGAGGCCTCGGTTGTGTGAGGGGCGCATAGCGAGGAGCAGATTGAGGTTGAAGTGATGCGGAGCTCTGGGCTAAGGGATCATCTTCGGAGTCGTCGTCGCTAAACTGATCAGCTTGGGCCAGGCGTTCGTAGCCGGTCGTAGCCGGGCGACTTGGAGGCATGGCTGGGCGGATGCTAGGTAGGTAGATACAATGTATGTGGATTAAGAGGGTTGGGTCTGTAGTCTGGTCTGTGGTCTGGTCTGTGGTCTAGTCCCTTAGAAATGATCGCATTCTAGTAACAAAAGATAAGGTTAAAATTGTATGTTAGGCTTAGGCTTGCTTTGGACCTGCCCCTGATTTGTCTCGTATCTAATTAATAAGTAACCAATACCTAACGTTGGCAGCTTTTCCAACTACGGGGCTAAAGAATGGATATAGTAGCAAAGAGGGACTATTAAAAAAATACAACAACGCCAAGTATCTCGACGTAGAAGAAGAAAAAAAAGATACGGTTCGATGTTGGCGCCGGTGTATGTAATAAGTTGATGTTCTAGCCGAAGATGTCGAAACACGTCACGTTAATAAGAGGCGTATTCCATTCCCTAAAAGATTTTAGAACATTGCCTTAGGTTAGGTTAGGTTAGGTACCTACCTTAGGTATTGTACAATACCTAGGTAGGATTCTAGGTAGGATTCTAGGTACATCAATGTAAGGCACCCATAATAAACCCCACAAGGGTGCATACATATAGGCAGACAAGATACTCCATTAATTGAAAAGCCTCGGAGCTCGGAACGACTTTAGCTTATTGGATGATTGGTACAGAATATTGTATATTGTTCATTATCTTTATAAGCAATATCCCTTTAACTCGTGACAAGTATACCGGTATCTACATAGATCAGATATCTACATAGATACCTATGTAGCTTAGGTGATCTTCTCTTCCCATCGCCGTAGCTCCAATACCAAGAAAAGCGAGCCATATGGACAAAGTGTCTAGGCGGAACATTGACTCGAGCTTTTTACAATAGTGAAAAAAGAGGACTGGTGAGGGATGTCGAGATTATATCGAAATTCCTACGTTTCTACCTAGGTAAGCTTTAAGCTCCCCTATCAGGTATGTACCTACCTACTTAAGGGCCACTAAACCAAGTACCTATGTACCTATAGGTTCCCGGGTCCAAGACTCTAAATAGTACCAACCCCACCTATCGGAGGCTTCCGCTACTGTTAGATCACACATCTAAGAAGGACCGTTTCACAGCTTACAATCCTTAGGACCCTTTAGGGTAGTACATATTGCGTACATAGCTCCCACGCCCTACAACATTGAATCTACCTACGTAGCCAATTTATCTACGTATGATCGATCCAATTCACACGAATTGCCTCAAACAAGCAACACAACAGCACGGATATTCATTAACAGTATTCTTTTTCCTCGAATCAAATGAAGTCGACCTTTTACGATAGTAGTAGATCATCCTCAATCGCTCCAGTTAGAATCATATCACGCGATCCCGTACATGATCGCAATCCGACCGCATTGCAATAGGCTGAGTTACCCGAGTCATCTGCAACTTGAGTTGTACCAGGCTTCGCATATCTATCGAACCATCTAAGCTTAGTTGTTCGACATAGTCTGAGCTCGCCAATTTTTAATTCCAAGCCCGGCATATCACCGTTTCTCCTTAGGTCGTTAGTCGAGAAAAAGGGAGAGGCTCCAGCTTAGCCGTCTGGTCGTATCCACTCGGTTGCTAACCCTGGCTCCAATCTGAGTTTCTGTTTCTCTGGTTCGACACGGTTTACGTCAGTTCCACCGGATGGTTGGCCAATCGTGTCTTATCCATCAGTCTAGAGATGCACCAATCCAAGACGGTCTGATTCGAAGATCCCAGGAGTGAACTGTCGATCCTAACCCTACCATTTAGCTCTTATACCTAGCTTATGTATACGACACTAAGTCCCCTTGATCTATGGTCTCTGCCGATATGGTCCAGATTGCTTTCTAGGATCGTCTCTTATTCAGACTATTTCTTCCCAATTCTTCACCGTCTTCCATTTCTCGTATCCCTTCCCGTGACTCGAAACACTCAGCTGTATTTTTATATCTTCCCAGCCGGACCCCTCTGATGTGCCTTGCACCTTGCCCCATCACTGGCTCAAGTAATCTAGGTCTTACCCCTATCTACTGTCTTAGGACTTACCTCTTTCAATCCTTAGTCGACAAACGAGGTTATCGGTTTTTTTAAGCAAAACACGGCTCAATATCCCGATCGCACCGGTTCATCGCCGTCAGATCCGAAATGGCCGCTCAAGCTACAAACGGAAGCTTTATCGATATCACCATTACAACCTTCTCATCACCCGAACCTGATAATCAACGAGGACGGAAACGCCGACGCAGCCCGCCAGAAGCTTTAGCAGTTGCAGCAGCTCGAATGCCGTCAGCAGAGTCTGCTACTTTCCGTGGACGATGCAGGCACCGTTCATCTTCGAGGCTCGATATATCCAGAAACACATCACGACTTAGAGGAGGGTCTTTATCTCCAACCCGCAGAAAGCTGATCCGCGTTGTTCAATTAAACCGTCACCGAAGCCAATCACCATCTAGATCCCGCTCTCCGGCTACACAGGAGGCTTCGAAGAGAAGGCGGCAAAGAACACAGAGCCGAGGTCGAAAGCACGATGTCGAGTCAAAGAAAGTTGTCGAGCCTATTATTGCTTCGTTCCTCCGCCACGAAATCGTGATCAGGAACGATAGTCCGTCTCAGAAATCGAAACATAACGGATGATACCGGCACAGCTTGAGAATTGGGATTCTGAATACTGCAGATCCAGCAATGGCTACGCCTACACAAGGCATGCCATTAGAGCAATGTGATGTTGTACTAGGTTACTGCAACCGCCGAGCCTCGTACAACAAAAACATTACTACCAGATCCTAATAGGCTGGTTTAAAAATAAAGAAGTTAATACTTTACCTTTAATAGTATTAAAAAGTTGGGGGTGGGCACAGGAAGCTTGCTTAATCCACCTACAAGCTAAAAATAACAGGATATTGGTGCATCATTTATCTACTTGGATGGAAATGGGAGAGGGCATGACAAAATACGGGATAAGACTAATATAAAATATAAAAATCTTATGTATGTTAACTAGTAGTATGTAATGGGAACTCAAGATAAGAAAGATTAGTTCAAGATATCAGAAGCCACAATACGGGCAAATGGCAAGTCCGGGGATGCGGACACGACGATGGATTGGTGCCAAGAGACCCCAAGAGACCCCAAGAGACCCCACGGCGACGATGCCTGCATCTGCACCAGGTTAACTGGGTCTTCTAGATCTGCGGGGCACGTGGCCTGGGGAGTACAGAAGTGAAAAGTGAAGACGGGCTGGATGGGCTGGACGGGTTGAGATTAGTGCGCTCAGCTGGTCAGCAGACCAATCAAGCATTTTTCACTATTCGTTCTGATTTGCGACGCGTCAGGCAGTTAGCAGTAGAGGGAGCATCTCAGGTAGTATGTAGTAGGTAGCTGCATCCTCGGCGGGGTGGGTAGCTGCGCCTATCGGTAGCCAACATCTGCCCGTTATATATACCCAAAGTACCTATACCTATAATGTATTATAGATATACGTAATGCTATACCTACTGAAGAAGATAATCAAGTACGTATACTTCTCTTGGTAGGTACCCCTCCATACATGTGGATAGGGTCGATACTTCTCACGTCAACGTCAACCTAATGCATCCCGAAATGTTCCTAGTCAACAAGCAATCGACCAACCAACTTTGCCCGTTCTACAAATTTCAGAAGCTTGACTGTCACATCCACTCACCACTCACAACTATCTCACCCTACACGGTACCTAACATTGTCCTCGTGACAAAGTTGACAATCTGAGATTTTTTGTCTTTCTTTTTTTTTCTTTTGAGATGGACTTTTAAGTTTCAGGCCTCACGCCAAACCGCAAGTTTATTATCCGCCTACTGGCCCTCGCCCTCGCCCTCGCCCTCGCCCTCGTCTCGCCCTACCTTACGTATTCTCTACATATACTTTGCGTATCTCACGCCCCGACCCCGACCCTGACCGTTCTTTCACGCCTTCTCACTACCTTATTATTCGAGCCAGCCTTGCCGATGCCCATCTCCACCTACGAAAAGCAACTTCTTCGGGCGCTCGCCTTTCTTTGTCTATAACTCCTCACTACCCTCGCCGACGTCTTAACAACAACAGTTCTGCATGTAGCCCCACTTCGCCATTCACAGCGACAAGCCAGAAGGCATATAATATGGCCTCAAACAACCACTCACAGGGTAACAGCCCTTTTTACAACCCTGTTTACTCACCCGCACCTACTACAAGTCAGAGCAACCCTCCCCAAACAATACAAACAATACAAACAATACAAACAATACAGCCATCTCTACCCACAAAGAGACCTCAAGATGATACTGACATTTTGTCCTTCAATTCAGCCTCCATGCAGAATGGATCTTCGAGACTTAATATGAACCCAGCCCTCTTGCTTAACCCTAAAGGCTACGCCGCCCCTACTCCGCCCACCCGACCAAATGCGCCTACCCGTCCTTTTAATAACTCGAATAACTCGGCCGACATCGAATTCCAATTCAATAGCCCGGATTTCCAGTTCTCTAACCCACAGAATGGCTATACGACCACTACCAGTCAGCCTATGCCGCAATCTAGCAATTTTAGCAATATGATTGATCGCATGAACAATGTGGAACAGCGTACATTCAATCCTCAATCAAAACGCCGAAGGCTCGAGGTAGAAGACGGTGTCAGTCCAGCGCACACATTTGGAAACGGCGGCGGCGGTGGGGTTGTTGGACAGTACGTGAAGGAGAGGCGACAAGAGGGGGGCAATCAGCAATACCCAACCGGACCGGTGGAGGCCGTAGACCTTACCGACAGCGGTAAGCTACTCTTGTGCATCTAGTTGAATATATACCTAATATTTCGACAGTGGAGGAAAGTGACGTCGTCGTGATACAAGCTCCGATGGACGAAGAGATCTGCTATGGTATGATCCAACACGCGAGTCTTAATTGTCATATCGTTCCGAGTCCCAAACCAGGCGCCATCTCACTCATGCCAACCTGGTGGCCTCAGGTAAAGATTGTGCTTAGAAGAAAACTTGGGGAGGCATCTTATATTATTCACGCCTACGATCATACGCGCAAAATAGTTGGAACTGTTGATGCCAGCACCGCGTCCGGCCTCGCAGGCTTATTAGACTCCCGCCTTCAACTTAGAACTGACTGCAGAATACCTACAAGGCAGAGAGTGGTAGGGGAGGAAGCTGGAAAGCAGATCTCAAGAAACTATACCCTTGATCTGATGCTTTATGGTCCCCGAAGGAGTGCCAAGACCGTTGCGAGACATCTTTCTCAGAAGAATCTTTGGCTTCGCAATCCCCCAAGAATCGATCATAGTGTGAAATATGAGAATCCACAGCTTGCCGATGGACCTAAGCCTCCGCCATTTATTAAGGAGCCGCTCAGGATGATTCCTACCACGACTACGTCGGTTCCACCATCCATGATGCCTAGCGTTGAAGAGATCCGTTCTGAAGTCATGGGAGTTTTTGACTCTCTGGCAAAGAACGAGGAGCTTCCTGAGGTGGAACCTGACCCTCGAGTACAGACGGAGCTTCTAAAGCACCAAAAACAAGGACTCAGCTTTATGATGAACAAGGAGCTGCCTCGCCAATTCGGCAGTGATGGCAAGGCTATCGGTTCTTTCTGGCAAATCCGTCTAGATAACCACGGCCAGAAAACGTACTACAACGTAATTACCGGAAGCTCGCAACGCGAAGCCCCTCCCGAGACCCTCGGTGGTATTCTTGCAGATATGATGGGTCTAGGGAAGACGCTAAGCATATTGTCTCTTGTTGCTAGTTCCCTCAAGGAAGCTGACGAGTGGTCAAAGCTTACGCCTATTCAGCCGCAGGCTCCTCTTATGCCCAAGAAGAAACCCAATTCTTCGGGACAGTTTGACGTACCCACACCACAGCCGCTCGGTTTGACCCAACTAAAACTGAACACCAAAACGACGCTTTTGATATGTCCTCTCAGTACGATAACGAATTGGGAAGAGCAAATCAAGGCTCATATCCAGCCTGGTCAGCTGACGTATTATATTTATCACGGATCCAATCGCATCAAGGACCCCGAAAAGCTTGCCATGTTTGACCTCGTCCTGACAACCTATGGATCTGTTGCTAGCGAGGTAGCAGCCCGTAACAAGGGTAGGCAAGGTTCGTATCCTCTAGAGGAGGTAGGATGGTTTCGTGTAGTCTTGGACGAGGCCCATATGATACGAGAGCAGTCTACTCTGCAATTCAAGGCTATCTGCCGCTTGCAAGCCAACCGCCGTTGGGCCGTTACCGGTACTCCCGTCCAAAACAAACTAGATGATCTCGCAGCATTACTTGCCTTCCTCCGCCTGAAGCCATTTGACGAAAAGAGCAAGTTTACGCAACACATCACAGCCCCCTTTAAGGTTTGTGACCCGGAGATTGTCCCGAAGCTTCGGATTCTCGTAGACAGTATCACTCTTAGGCGCTTGAAGGACAAGATCAATCTCCCTCCCAGGACGGACGAGATCATAAGACTCGAATTCTCTCCTACCGAGCGCAAACTCTACGATATATTCGAAAAGAATGCGCAAGATAAGGTGCAGGTATTAGCGGCAGGTAGGGAGAAAATGATCGGTGGTAGGACCTATATTCATATTCTGCAATCCATACTTAGACTACGTCTTATCTCTGCGCATGGCAGGGATCTTCTCAGCGATGAGGACCTGGAGGCGGTGCAGGGTATGACCCAAGAATCTGCTATTGACCTTGACAGCGACGAGGACGATGAGAAACCCGCATTGGCAGAATCAAGAGTTTATGAGGCTTTTGAGCTCATGCAGGAGACCAACAGCGACTTATGTATATCCTGCCAGAAAAAGATTGGCTCGAATGACAGTGCTAGTATCGCGTCAGAGCGCGAAGAGGATGTTCTTGGCTATATGACCGCTTGCTTTCACCTTCTCTGCCCCAGTTGCATTACAACCTGGGAAGAGGAGGTGGGCAATCACGGGTCAGGTACATGTCCCGTCTGCCAGTCTCATGTTCGCTTCTCCTACAACGAAATTCGCAAGAGCAAGGCCGAAGTCGAACACGAGGGACACCATCAATCATACAAATCGGAAACTAAAGTCAGAACGAAAGATGGCTACCCGGAATATTCGGGGCCTCACACGAAGACTCGTGCACTTGTCAATGACCTCCTGAAAGCAAAAGCCGACAGCGAGGCTCACCCTGACGAGCCCCCATTTAAGTCAGTTGTCTTCTCCGCCTGGACGTCTCATCTCGATCTTATTCAAATCGCATTGGACAACGTCGGGATTCGATACACTCGCCTCGACGGTAAGATGAGTCGAAATGCTAGAACTGCGTCCATGGATGCCTTCCGGGAAGACAACTCGGTGCATGTGATACTGGTATCCATCATGGCCGGTGGCCTCGGCCTGAATCTTACTTCAGGGAACTACGTCTACGTGATGGAGCCTCAGTACAACCCGGCAGCAGAAGCACAAGCTGTCGACCGTGTCCACCGACTCGGTCAGAAGAGACCCGTACGCACGGTTAGATATATCATGCGAAACAGCATCGAGGAGAAGATGCTCGACCTTCAGGAGAAGAAGAAAAAGCTCGCAAGCCTTAGCATGGACAGAAACCGGGTTATAGACAAGGCAGAGGCGGCGAAGCAAAA